CTCTCTCTTCTGTCCGAGCCATCCTTGGCTGTCAGAAGTTGCCCTTTAAGGGTCTTTAAGGGTTCCTTCAAACACTCCTTCAAGGGGTTCCTTTGAGAGTTCCTTCCAGCGTCTTTTAAGGAGTTCCTTGTAAAGCCTCCTATGAGAGTCTTGCACGTCAAGAGCTTAGGATTCAGAGAGCCCTCGGCTTTTACAGGAACGACCCAGAGACTCCAATATCCCGTAATGAAGGAATCTACAAGTACCTTAAGTTATAGTAGGATCCCTAGTATGATTTAAGGAATATTCTTTAATTAACGGGTATTGGAGTGTCCGGGTACTCTTGAAGGGCTCCTAAACGGTCACAGGCGCACAAAAAACCTGGAGCCTAAATGCGGCGTGCTTTTCGCTTGATATGCAAAGTTACTGTTTGAAGTGTTCACAGTCATGGACTTGATTAAGCCTCTGTGGCCTGGTCAAGCATGCGCACCATTTGGCTCCAGAAAGCTGGTGCCCACCGCCCTTATAACAAGGGTCCTGGTCCTAATATGCTCACGAGGTTGGCTTCTGAAAAACATTAGCCGACGTCAGCAAACAAGATTCTCACATCCCCTCAAGCCCAAGAAGGAAAACCCCGAACCCTAAACCCCGAACCCTAAGCTCAGTTCCGGCCGAGCGTCATGTTGGGAGATTAGCTGCAGGCTTTTCTGACCTGGGCAAAGGTCACTTTGTCTCACTGGCCCAAAACCCAAGGAAATAAACATTGAAATTTTCAGAATCGACCTTATAAGAACCCCAAAAGTTGAAAAGTTGAGTTTACAGCCAATAAGTTGTACGGAGTCTACGGACTCTTGTAGCCAACTCGAGGCTGGGGTTGAACTCGAAACCTCACGGCCCATTAGGGATTTTACAGGTTTAGAGTTCGAGGTTTTTAGTTCAGGGTTTAGAGTTTAGAACTAAGAGTTCAGGGTTTAGAGTCTAGAGTTTTGATTTTGGGGTTTAGTGGAAAATCCTGACGCCCTAAACCATAAGGCCAAAACAATCTAAGTTAGATGTGGAGGGTGGGTGTTTTGAGGCTTGGGGTTTTCAGCTTAGTTGCTTAAACTCCTAAGAACCAAAAAGCCCGCCCTGAGCCCAAAACCCTTAACTGCTAGCAACCAAAGGCCCGCTATCCCAAACCCCCCAAACCCTAGAACTTCCATGCCTCGAGCCGAACCTCCCGGCCCTATCTTTCAATTCGGAAAGCCTGCATGGCGGTACTTAGGGTTTAGGGTTTGGGGTTTAGAAACCCAACGAGCCTACTGGCCATGGAACCCTACAACACAAATCCGAAAAGCACTCCGCAGTTCCACCCGAAGTGTCTACCCACGGCTCTACACCGTACACCTGCAGCCTTAAACCCCTAAACCCTAAACCCTAAACCCTAAAGCCTTAAACCCCAGACCACCCTTCATCAAAGCGCCGAAGCCCGAACTCGAGCTGACCAAGCAGCCGAGGTCCGAATTGAGTCAAAGGGCTCAGAGGTTTTTTTTTTTTAAAGTGCAATGGGGCCTTTTTCTGCAGAAAGGTCCGGCCGAGATTCGGCCTACACTCACACAGATCCCATCCGAGAATCCGTGTAAAATCCCTCGCGAACTCTTGTACTCCTCAATCAGAGGTTTAGGGTTTAGGGTTTAGGGGTTTAGGGTTTAGGGTCACCAAACGGTCCCTCATACTACTGCAATACATACGGTTGATGATATGAATCCTGCATTACTCATAATGAGGAATTCACCATAATTACCACAGTTTAGGGTCCGTAAATAGGTCATGCTGTTGGGTTTATAGGGCCTGGGGTTTAGGGGAGCCCAGGACAATCTGGAACAATAGTCTCTCCGTAAAATGCGCTGAACCCTTGATCTAACCCTGAAGCACTTACAACCCACAGGGCAAACCCTGTATAGTAATATCCAAGAGGTCATCAAAGCCAAACCGCAGTTCTTATAATCGAGCTCAGTTTGGGGTTTAGGGTTGAGGTTCTTTTTTGACTTCTTAGGCACATGGGATTCCTTGACTTGTTCAGCAGCTTTCAATACGTCGGATCAGGGTCGCATCTTAGGGTTTGAGGGTTTTTGTTTAGGGTGCACTCTACAGGCTCAACAGTTCTTCTAGCCCTTCAGTAGCCCCAGCGGCCCCTTGATAAGAACAATGAAGAGCCTTTCTCCCATAACTATTTTCTCACGAGGCGACCCGAAAACAAACGATCAGAAGGGTATGACTGCAAGCCTCTTAAACCCTTTAGAATCCAGAATCTCAGAACCCCCTCAACCCTAAACCCTGGTCCCATAATGTGTTGCTGCTAAAACACCATCCACAAACACTCTGAGATTCTGCCGGCTGCCGCGGAACTACAATAGAACCGCACCAGGATTCTTTCAGGGTACCGTGCTTCCTGGTACTTTTGCTTGCCTTCTTGCAGTCTGACCACCAACTGCACTCGCAGGTTCCCGTCCACTTCCAAGGTTTCGCTGACTCTCCGTCTCGAAATGCTCAAGCCATGTCCTTTACATGATTGCCGAATGCAGCGCCAGAAAAGTGAACTGCATGAGCATTCTTACCATGAAAATGCATATCCCTGCATTCTTGCAAAAATTGCTCCTGGAAAAAAGCCCAGGTGAAGGGATACCAGCTGGCAGTTGCAATCCATCCGAACAGCACGGCAATCTGGTACGGGTGGACATTCCTGCAAAAGCTGTCCCGGTAACAATGATAGACTCCACAACCCTAACATTCCTCAAGAAGGATTATACCCTGCAAGGAATATACCCTGCACTCTAGGGTTTAGGGCAACCTTCCGCAAGTAAGGAATATACCCTGGGCCATATTGAAAACTTTCGCTAATCTGTTCTGGACCCCTTGAGAAAAAGCGTTTCAAAACCCTTGGTTTTATGTCCTTGAGAATGCTCGCAAAAATTGAGGTCGCGACGTTGCTTTTGCTACGCAGGCCTGCAGACCTGCAAGTATGGGCACAATGAAAACGCAGGCTTTGGGTTTTCAGGGACTGGGGCTTTCGTGCTTCGGGATTAGGGTGCAGGTCTTCTGGGCTTCGGGATGAAACGTCAAGGTCATGAAGGCCCTTCAGGGGTTTAAAGGTGGTCTACAGGTTAAGCAAGATGCTGGCCGAGGCTTATTAATTCACTCAATAAGCATCCAACTCGTACTCTTTAGGATCTATAGTAGGGACTCCCATGTCTGCAATAACCTCTACGTAGGCTTCAGGATAGAAGGATTTCAGGTCGAGGGTCACTTGATCCGTGAGTCAGATCACCCGAAACCCTAAACCCTAGACTCTAGTTTAAACCCCCAGCCCTAAACCCAACACCCTAACCACTCGAAGCCCTAAACCCTAAACCCTGCTTGAAACATTAAACCCTAGACCCTAATTGACACCCTACACCCAAAAACGGTTGATGTACCGCAGAGCTGAGACTTCCAACCAAGCTCAGGGTCGAAGCGTCAGGCTAGGAAAGAAGTGTTTAGAACCCTAAGCTTTAAACCCTAGGGTTTAGGGTTTCGGGGTTGTAAGGCTCAGGATTTAAAGTTCATGGTTTAGGTCCAGGGGTTGAGTTGCTCCCGAAGGATAACCTTTGAAGATCCCTACAAACGAAATCACGGCCAAAAAAGAACAAACATGCACAACCTCAATAAATAACCCAAGAGTCGTGTAGGGAAAAGAGGGATCACGCACGCCGACATGGCAAATTCCCGCCCCGAGATGGAAAAAAAAAAAACACACCCCGAGATAATATCTCCGAGGCTCGCTTTTGACGTGTCGGTGAGCGCTTGATCATGTCGGCACATGTTTTCCATGTCGGTGCAAATCTTGCATGTTGGCACACGTTTTTCCATGTCGGCGTGTGCTTCTTCCATGTCGGCACGTATTTTTCCATGTGGGCCGCTTCACAAATGTGCCACTTTCAAATCCGTCCGCCTCCATCTCTCTCATTCCTGTTGAACAAGGTTGGGGTTTAGGGGTTTAAGGCTTTGTGAACTCCTTGTAAGCCCCAAACCCTTCCAAACAAACCGGTTCTCCATCTCAGCGCATGCTTGTGTGTATAGTTATCGGCGTATAGCTTTTGTCATGTCGGCTCCTGCATTTTCTTTGTCGACGCGCATTTTGTGCCATGTCGGCGTGTGATGTTTACTATGTCGGCGGACATCCCGCTTTTTCATGTCGGCACGTCGTTTTTGCCATATTGGTGCATATTCTTTTTAACCATGTCAGCAGACATTCATTTTTTACATGTCCTCGCGATTTTTTTGCATGTCGGCACATAGTTTTACCATGTCGGCGGACATCTAGTTGCACATGTCGGCGTGCAATTGTTACCATGTCGGCGGACATCTAGCTTTTTATGTGTTGATACGTTTTTGGCATGTCGGCGCATGGCGTCCCAAAATAGAAAAGGGTTCAGGCACAAAGAAAAAGCTAGTGTACGACAAATGTATTCCTCGTTCCCAAAAGTCCTCTGGACACAGACTCTCCGAAGTCTTCGCCGCAACTTTAAACGAACAAACCCGATGAGCCCTCCGACCGTTCTCGTTACAGGCCCTGTATGTGACACAGTAAAAACTCGATTTTATGTGAGGTTGTATCGTAGCAAGATGTTTGTCCACAACATGTTTTGGCCGGCTTCTGAAACCCTCTAAAAAGTTAAACCTTTAGCCTCCTAACTTACTATAGTTTAGAAACCCAGAAAAATAAAGTCCCAAGAGCCAACCAGAAGAACGACACGACGTAAGGCCCTATGCTTGGCCCCGGAGATCCCTAATCGCCCTGATCCCCCTTGGAACTTACAAGGTAAGCGTACGCTTCTTATTCGGAGATTCAGGGAAGCCATAACAAAGCAACAAAAACAAACAATCAAGAAAGCACCTAAGGGCCTTAACGCAAAGGACCTAGGAGAACCCAGATCAGCCCCTAAACCCTAAACCCTAAGCTCTCAGCCCCTGGCAGCCTGGGAAACCACGAGCATGAACTCTCAGGCGTCTCGCATCTTCTGCTCATGGTGGCCCACGGAACAATGCATGGCCTCCCACAGGAACAGTTCTTATCCTAAGATGCCCAGTAACCTAGGAATAAAAATGGCTCCCTTTTTTTGGTATTGGGACACTTTGTAAGGAACCTAAGACTACAAAAAGGGAATAAGGGTACTACTGGGCATCCTAATTATCAGGTTTCTGGAAATTTTGGGTTCGGGGTTCTCAGAGTTTTAGATGCTGGGGTTTGGTGTGGTTCGGCTTTCCTCGACAGGAATGATAGGACCGATAAGAACAGGAGCCCATACGCTCAATCCGAAGCACACCCAAGAGCCCTAGACCCCCAAAGCTTCCTAAACCCCTAAACCCCTAAACCCTAAACCAGGCGCTAAACCTTTAGGGTTTAGGGGTTTAGGGCTATCATGGCACCAGGACCTCTTGCAAAACTTAACTTTGCAGGCTACGCAGGAAACGCACACAGTTTGGGGTTTTGGGGTTTAGGGCCCTCAGGTGTCGAACGGACCCTAACCTTCGATCACTGACGGACTTCACCGAACTAACCCGGAAAAGCGAGGTCGCGGTCCCCATGCACCTGCAAGATTGCCCCATATCCCTTGATCATAAAGATACCTTCTTGAACATGCATGAGTCAATTCACCCCAAATCTATAAGCCCCGTATACCCCGAATAAAGCAACAACAACAATACTTGGAAAAGCCCTCGGGGTTGTACTATAACAAATATGAAGCAGTCCCAGATGAAGGGGGTGAGCTACTCTACTGCACTTGAAAGTCCAGCAAAACAACAAGTTCTGACGATCCCCAGACAGGAAACCGTAACCTCCAAAAAGGGACAAACTTGAGCACACCAACAAGAGAGTAATTGCCCAAGGTCATATAGAAACCGGTTTTGCGCTGGTCCCTAAACCCCACCTCCCCAAACCTTAAACTCTAAACCTTCGCCAGACTCATTGCATGGCACCGGGGGAGGGCGCAGGATTCTCAGCTGCCGTTTTGCAACCCTAAACCCTAAACCCTAAACCCTCAAGCCCCTAAACCCTAAACCCTTACTCGGATGGACGGACTTTGGGCGGATCGGTCCTGTGTTGCAGAGGAAGTCTGCAGACTCTGCAAGGCCCCCCCGCTCGGCTGCTTGGACATTACTTGGAGGATCATGGGACTTAGTAAGTGAGCTAGGGTCCCTAGGGTTCCTTTAAAGGGGCTACTATAAGGGATACTATAAGGGTGCTGGAGTATGCTTAGAGGATCATGGGACTTAGTAACTATAGTTATAAGTCCCTTAATTGGGGCTATAAGTAATTATAAGTATAGTTACCCCAGTAATAACCCTAGTTACTAAGTCCCATGATCCTTTAAGTACGACAGGGGGCAGCAGATAAGGAGAACGTAGCTGCCGGAGCCTGGCTGTCGTCTGTCTGAGCGGCCCCACAAGAGCCCGAGGCGTAGCTCGATGGTACCAACATGGTTTAGGGTTTAGGGTTTAGGAGTTTAGGGGTTCAGGGTTTAGGGTTTAAGGGTTTAATGGTTTAAGGGTTTAGGGGTTTAGGGCTTCGGCTTTAGGGTTAAGGGGTTTAGGGTTTAGGGGTTTCGGGGTTTAGGGTCTAGGGGTTTAGGGTTTAGGCATCGAGGCTTCTGCTGGAGCGGACAAGAACGCCACAGTCAGTCATGCATGCAAAGCAGCCGCTCGGCCGTAGCTTCCAGTTTCTGCTACTTGGGCGGGGGGACTGCGGGTGGATAGGTCCTGTGTTGTGAAGGATGTCTGCAGGAGTCTGCGTGGCCTGCTCGGTTGCTTGATTTCAGGTCTAGGGCGTCTAGGGTTTATAGTTATGGCCTTAAGGTTTCGAGTTGGGCGGATTGGGATCTACAGGTTAGACTTGCGAGGGAACCCCCAATGTTAAACCCTTAAGCCCTTTGACCTTTGAACCCCGAAGCCTACTCTTTACAATTCGAAACACTCTTTACAATTCCAAACCTTGAACCAGGAGCGCCATTGTCAGAACACATGAGAGCTGCTCCGTGAGCTGGCACCGATGGCCTTTCGGTAGCATTCGACATCTAACTGGGTAGTTGTCAAAATTATGGTCCCTTTTTGGGTACCCTAAATATTAAGTTAAGTGCCGTACTGTATCAAGGGCCAAAAAAAGGACCCTAATTTTGACAACCACCCAACTGTTTCTGCATGTGTATGCCCCCAAATAAATTTACCGGGCCGAGTTTTTTGAGGGCGTCTCTTCGGTTTGGGGGGGCTTCTATAGCGCCCAAAAAAGTAAGCAAAACAAAGATAGGGATATCCCATATAAACCCCCTTATAATGAAGCCCAATAAGGTAGGGATATCCCCATAACATGCTTATGAAATTTGTGCTTTTGGGGTCCCTCATTCTATCTGTGTCAACAACGCGTAATACCAGCTAATTTCCCCAAACCCAAAACCCGTGAAGTTAAGCACCCAAAGGGGTCATCGAACATACTGCGGCAGACGCCTCGAACAACCTTTCCCGCAATTCCTCTTTCGAGGAGTAGGGCGGCAAGTACCTGTGATTGAATGCAGATGTGGGCTACTCTTGCTTGGGGATTTAGAGTTTGGCGGCTCTGAACTTCACTATTTTTTTGCTTCTCTAGGATACCCAGTAACCTAAGAATAAAAAGGCCTCTCTTTTTTGGTATTGGGTAACTTTATAAGGAACCTAGGACTACAAAAAGGAAATAAGGGTACTACCGGGCATCCTAGTTCTTGAGAACTTACTGAGACTTACTAACTTGCCAGACAACAAACGCATTTTTCCAGAACGTCTCAGATCTTCGTGAGAACTTAACATATAGGTGGTTGTCAAAATCATGGTTCCTTTGTGGGTCCCTGTTATAATACGGCACCTAATCTTTAGGTTACCCAACAAGGGATCATAATTTGACAACCACCCATATATTAAAGGAAGCTTAATAGTCTGAGCAGGGTTTGACGATTAGGGATTGATAAAGGGATAGTATTAGTGAGTGGATGTAAGTGGACGTGTTCCTGGATGATGCCGAGGTCTTTGGCCAAGCCTTAATTTTCGGGGTCTGTTTTTTGGTACGGTTTCCTTACGTTGCCCCAATAGAAATATAATAGTATAGGCCTCCTTCTACAACATGGTCTAATTAATTCTTAAGACTCTGTTTGTAATCCCTAAACCCTCGCCCTAGACGTCTGCGAAAAAGTCCTAAAGCACCCGCTTCATCCCGTGGTGCTTGGCATTGGTGCTTTAGGGGCAACCTACTTGTCGGGTACCATGGGGAACTAAAGGTTAGGTTTTAGGGTTTAAGATTTAGAGTATAGGGTTTAGGGTTTAGAGTTTAGGGTTTAGGGCTTAGGGGTCAGGGTGTCATGGGGAACTAAAGGTTGACCTTTTTGGTTATGTAGGGATTATATAGGGACTATACTACCCAAAAAAAGGTTGAAGGTTACCTACTCGACTACTAGGGCAAAGGATCCTCCGGCTGTGCCCTGCGACCTTGTACATGCATGGATCGTCATGCAACATCAACAAGAACAGCATGGATAAGAATAGAAGCCCTAAGCCGCTAACCCCTAAACCCTAAACCCTAATCCCCAAACCGACATGGCAATAAGCTTGGACAGTAGGATCCTTGGTTTAAGACCCCCCCACAAAAACTTCTTGAAACCTTAGCACAAAATCCCTCAACCCGAACAACCGGGCTCCAAAACCTTAAATGCCTAACCAAAACTCTAAACGGGACCCACGAACCCTGAACCTCAGGTACGGCCCCCACTCAGTAATAGTTGAATAATATTCATAATATAGATATAGTAGGACCTTAATAGTAGCGCTATTATAGACTCTTACTGTATGGGGGCCGTACCCAACCTAAACCTTAAACCCCCAAAATCCCTGAAAAAGGACCCACAGGTGGGCACAATTGATTTGCGCAGGCCCGCGAACGGGGGAACCCCTTCCTGCGGGAGCTACCACTTTAAAGCCCAGGGGACTTAGTATGTAAGGTTATAAGTAGGTTATACTTAGGACAACCCCACTTAGAGGACTTATAACCCCACTTATAACCTACTTACTAAGTCCCATGATCCTCCAAGCAGGGTTGAGGGTCTATTGTTTAGGGTTCGTGGGTTTGGGGTTTAGGGTTTGGGGGTTTAGGGTTCAAGGCAAGGTGCGAATATCACAATGGTGATTTAGGGTCTTGTGCTTTTTCTAGCGAAACAGGCTGTCATGACGGCTCTGGCAGGTTTGAGGTTTGGGGTGTAGGGCTTTGAGTTTAGGGTATCGGGTATGCTTAGGGATTTGGGTTTCCGGGTTTCGCTCCTCCGAACCCTAAACCCTAAACCCTAGCCTAAACCCGTAAACCGTAAACTGAACCCTGAACCGCAAACAAAACTCGGGGGCGCTTCGGGATAGGACTTCCCACTTTGATGGCCTTGAAGAAACCAGGGAGGGAAAAGTGTAGACTGCATGGTCCTTTTAAGGAACAGGTCCAATAAATGAGTAAAACTTCTATTTCAGAATGTTCCTTGGCTGACTTCTGAACCCCTCCAAAAAGTTAAACTTTTAGCATCCTTATTATAGTTCATATAGAAACCCAAAAGTTAAAGTCCTAAGAGCCAACCAGAAGAACGCCAAGTATTACGGTCACCCCTAAACCCTAAGCCTAAACCCCACAAACCCCTTAACCCCCAAACCCCTACACCCCTAAACCCCTAACCCCTAAAACCCCAAACCCCGAACGCCTAAACCCCTACACCCTCCAGAACACAGATCAGGATCCTATACAGCCCTGAAGGCTTGCAAGATACACATCTTTCTTTGTAAGGGTTCCTTCTCGGGTTTTTGTGTGCTCTTTGTGGCTTTTTGTGGGTTCTTTAGGGTCTTTTGTGGGTTCTTTCCGGTTTTTGTGGGTTCTTTCGGTGTTGTTGTGGGTTCTTTCGCAGTTTTTGTGGGTTCTTTTGGTTTTTTGTAAAATGTTTTTTGGGCCGGGCTTCGAGTCTAGGATCCGAGGAAACTCGTAATTTGAGTTTCCCACAGCCCTAAAGTACAAGCCATAAAGTTGGAATATGGTTTCAGGGTAGGATACCCTATAATTTACCATAAAGGGTTTAGGATAATCATATTCCAACTTTCTGGCTTCTACTTTAAGGTAATGCAAAACAAGTGTTTCTAGTTCATGGTTGGGGTAGGATTAGAAATCTAGATTTTTCCTTATTGGGTTTAAGTACCCATGAAAATGCAAAATGTTACCCAACTATGGCAAAGGTTTAAGGTTTAGATTTAGGGATTAGACCTTAGGCTAGTGAGGTTTATTTCAGGGTCTTGTTCAGGCTTCCTCTGAGATTTGCTGCAAGGCTTCCTTTATGGGCTTCCTTTATGGGTTCTTTTATGGGTTTCTAGGTTTCAAAAGCGGGTTGCGGTTAAGGTTTGGGTGCAGAGTTCGAGGTGGCTTTTGATGTGTTGGTGTGTGGGGTTTGTGAGTTTGGGGTTTTGCGGGGATCGGGGCAATGTATGGGTTCAGGCGGCTGCTGTGTTCTGACAGCCAGGGGCTGATTTGACTCTGCAAATTCAGATGACTTACGAACCAAGCAGACATGCACTTCTACTTGTATAGCTGGGTTCAGAACCCTAGGATACCCAGTAACCTAAGAATAAAAGGGCCTCTCTTTTTGGTATTGGGTAGCTTTATAAGGAACCTCGGACTACAAAAAGGGAATAAGGGTACTACTGGGCATGCTAGAACCGGATTTTAGTACCCTGGAAACTTCAGGGATGCATCCGATACCCTGAACCTGCAAGTGCTACGCATCCGTCCTGGAACCAGTTTGCGGATCTGGGAAGACGTCCAGGTGAAAGTTTGCCTCCGCTTCATGATGCCGAACTCTGATAAAAAGACCAAGAACCCTCAACCCTAATCAAGAACCCTAAACCCTAATCCCTACCGTGAGTCCTAAAGCGTAGCCTAAACCCAAAATGCTTGGGCTTACTCTTTACATCGATTTACCGTCTGCATAGTCAGGATCCTACTGTCTGGGGTCTATATATTGGTCTCGCCGACTCCCACTTAGGATGTTCTGAAAACAGGTGGTCCCTCGAAACAGGCTTTAGTATGTACAGGCTTCAGAGTCTAGGGCAAAAGGGTACTATTCCGGAAACTAGGGGTCAAGGGTTAAGGGATTCAGCAAATATCATCTCCTGCAGACTGGTCGACTATCCAAAGGTTTACAGGCTTAGGGTTCCAGGCTTTGGGGTTTCAGGTCTCCAAGGTATTTAGGGTCTACAAAGTGAACCCCGGACTTTGGTTGATGAGGCTCTACATTCGGAATAGAGGGCACGATGGCCAGGGTTCCATCTGAAAAGCCTTGACCAAAACAACCTAGACTCGGGGTTGGAGGGTGAAGCTCTAAGGGTCCAAATATCCAAAAAATCTTCACATCAGCAGATGTGCTAGCATTTCCGGCAGTGCTTATCTGCACTTCCAAGCATAAGTGATGCATTGCTTTAGGGGGGTCCTTATAACAAGGGTCATGCAATTTGGGGTTCTATATTGGGGCTGTTTGCGTTACTTTCTTTCAAATAGGCATGTCTTGCTGAACTTGCACACGCTAGCAGCTGCACTGCGGTTTAGGGTTATTTAGTTGTTCAGGTTTCGGAGTTTTCAAGAGCACCAGTGAAGTGCCTACCCGGGCCCTGACCCCAAAACATTTCCCGCGCGATCCCCCAGCTTACTCTCGGACCCTGCCACAGGTCCTGTCCACCAACGCTCGCACCGGCTATCGCGTCCCACCGGTGCTCCCTCAGGTGGCCTATGGGCGAATAGGCAATTGCCCAGGATGCCCACACTCGTCGCAAATCCCCCGTGTAAATCCTTGGGATCTACTTCAGCTTGTGAGGTCTGTTCCCTCCGTCACCCCGTCGAGTGGAGTTCCTCTCACGCACGAGCTTTGCCGGTTTGAATTCACCTCTGGCCGCAAGCGGCAACCACATCGGGTGTGGCCCCCCGTGTTCTGACACGCATCCCACTTTCCACGTCCCAAATACCGACAAATCTGCTAATCAACAAATACAGAAGCCTGAGTAATCACTAATACCATTCCTTCGGGCTCCTTGTTATATGGTTATACTATACTGAGCTCCAAATCCTCTTTCAAATGCGTCACATTCTAAGGCACCTATATTAAACACGAGCAGTAGACGTGTAGCTCGACTCCAAGTTCGAAGTCGTAAGCCCAGAAGACATTCCCAAGATGAAAAGTGCAGATGAGGCTGACTCTAGTCTAGGATGCCCAGTAAGCTAGGAATAAAAAGGGCTCCCTTTTTGGTATTGGGTGACTTTATAAGGAAGCTAGGACTACCCAACTGTAATAAGGTACTACTGGGCATCCTAGCAGTGATCAGCAGTGGGGCTTCCGGTGTGATCTTGGGCTCAAGGTTTCAGGGATTTTGGATTCTGCGTGCAAGCAGGTTCAAGCTTCAGGCGAGGATGTAGGGTAGTGACAAGAATCTCGTCGTCATGTGGGCGGTTGTCAAAATGATGGTAGCTTGTCAAAATGATGGTAGCTTGTTATAATACGGCACCTAATATTTAGGGCACCCAAGAAAGGGCCATAATTTTGACAACTACCCATGTCAGACCTACGGAAACAAAAAACGCTCGGTGGGAACCCTGTCGAACTCCTAAAAACCATGAACTGGAAAAGCCCAAACACTAAGCTACTATTTGCTTAAGAACCCCCCCCAAAAAAATAAACAATGATGATCCCTATGTTATCCCTATAAGGAATACATTTTTTATTTTTTGGGGGTTCTTAAGCAAGTAGTAGTAAATTACAGCACCACAGCCCAAATCTGAAACAAAGGGGCACAAAGGGGCCCGAATAATTCGCAAGATGCTTCCTCAGCGTGACTCGATGGTACTATACTATAAGTCTATAAGGCCTATACATTAAGTCTTGGATGCTTACCGCAGTAACCCTCATGGACCCCTTGAAGCTCACCGGCCTAAAACCCGACAAAATCAAAGTTGAAGCTTTCAGAATCGACGACCTCATAAGAATCCCAGAAGTTGAAAAGTTGGGTTTACAGCCAATAAGGAGGAGGAACCCTGATAACACCGAAAGCCGAAGAAGCCGAGGATCCGGGGACCCCTAAACCCCTAAACCCCTAAACCCTTAAACCCTTAAACCCTTAAACCCTTAAACCCTGAAGCTCTCCTAAACCCACAACCCCTAAACTTCCCTAAACCCGAAACCCCTGAACTCCTAAACCCTGAACCCCTAAACCTTAAACCCCTAAACCCGGGTCATCCAAGGCCCGGACAATTCCACCTGGGGGAAGCCTCGGACAAGACCTCAGCTTCCGGGCTTCAGGGTTTGTGTGTTTTTTTTTTTGCTTTATGGGCTCTTTTCCGTATGCACGAACGTGGCTTCAGAGTTTTAGGGCTTTAGAGCTTTAGGGTTTAGGGTTTTAATTGGGTTCTTAAGGGTTTAGGGCTTAAGGGTAGCTTTGGAACATCATGGGATCCTTAAGGGTTTAGGGTTTTTGTGGATTAGGGACCAGGGTTTAGGGTTTGGGGTTCTTTTTAGGGACTCTAGTTCAAGCGGGTTCTTCAGCGTTTAGGGTTTAGGGCTCAGGTTTTTTTGGGTTTAGAGTTCAGGTTTTAGGGTTCAGCGGTTTTTGGGGCTATGAGGCTGCAAGGCTTCCTGTACGGCCTTATGGTTTGGGGTGGTATATTATCGTATAATTGTGTCTTACGTAGGGTTTTACTGCTTCAAGGGTCATGGTCTGCTAAGGCAGTCAAGGGTTTATGGTATCCTCAAGGGATGCTAGCATAAAACCTACGGTTGATGATATAAATCCTGCATGACCCATAATAAGGAATATACCATAATTCCCATAGTTTAGGGGCCATTAAGGTAATGCAGGATTTATATCATCAACCGTAGTAACCCTCAATTCCCCTTGAGCTTCCCTGCAGGTTGGCTAGCGAAGGCTCATCTTGGGTTCAGGTTTAGGGTGTTGTAAGTTGTTTGGTGGTTTAAGGGTATTTGCATGTTGCTAGGGCATTAAGGGTTTCAGGGTTCAGGGCTCAGGAACTTGGTTTAGGAAATTTTTGCGGCAGGCGACGGAGGGTAAGGCTTCGTGCTTTTGCGCGCAGGTCTGTAGGATATTCTTGTGTTTTTGGAGTTCGACTTGTACTTACCAAGGGCTCGTTTTTTCTTCGCCTTCTTTGTCTGATCACGAAGCCATGAAATCCCCACACTCTAAACCACCAAGCCCCTCAACGCATTGATAACCACATCACATCCGTACAGAATGCTAAAGCAATCCTAGCTGAAGACTACAAGACCCTCATAGAACCCCAAAAAATTTTTGACCTGTCTTGACACCCCCGGAGCCCCTGACTGAGGCACGGGCGAGACAAAATCTAAAAATCGAGCTCGGTTGGCCTTGCAGGCAGGGTTGCGCAAGTTCAGGGCTAAGGGTTTAGGGTTTACTAGGGGCTGAATAGCCGCTCAGCCGGAACTTCTAACGGGCTTGTCAGGGCTTGAATGAAGATAGCACAGGGCTGATGGAAGCAAAGTAACCCCAAACCCAAAACCCTAAACTCAACCATTTAGGTTTCGTAAGGGCTTAGTGTCCTTTGACGACTAGGCAGGCCCTGTAGCAGGAAAGTTATAGATCGATGCCCTTTCCCCTTCGTCCTCTTATACGGCTTAATTATTCTGAGGGCCCAAACAATCAGAACAGGCACTAAGTCTATAAGGTCCCTTTCACCCTCTTCCGTATTGCCAAACCTTTCAAGTCCGTGACGCTTCGTGGGTTCGCGGGCTTTGTCAGCGATTTAGATTCAGAGGTTTGGAAAGAGTTCAAGGCTTACAGGTTAAAGCTCGGATCTCACATCGCGGCATTGCTTTCTAGAACAGGCTTTTGGTGGCAAGCTAGATCCACAATTGTGCATAACCCCGAGCCATGAGGGCTTAAACGGCGCACCCCTGGCACCTCTATAAACATCGTGGCACTTTTATCACCGCCTAGCAAATTGATTATTGCACCTTTTAAGACAAACCGAAGGACACCCGAAAAGTTCAAGGCCCCTACTTGGAGGATCATGGGACTTAGTAAGTAGGTTATAAGTGGGGTTATAAGTCCCCTAAGTGGGGTTATCCTAATACCTACTTATAACCTTACTTACTAAGTCCCATGATCCTTTCAGTAGACCCTAAACCCTAAACCCTTATCATAGAACCCTATAGTACCCTTAAAAGGAACCCTAAGCCCTTACTTACTAAGTCCCATGAGCCTCCAAGTAGGTCCTGGCTAGTTCCCCAGTCCCCAGACGAGGTCTACAAACGAGGCTGTTCGGGGGCTTACTTGGGGGCTTCAAAACTCCGGCTACCCGCTCCTATGCTGAACTTAGAAACCTAGCAAAAGTTAAAATTTTAGCTGTTTCTTAGGGATTATAATAACCAAAAATTCAAAATTATTTTAAGTACCCCTAAGGCTTTGGTAAAACATCGACCCCTTCCTCTGACACTGCATGGCCGAGCCTGGTCCATCTCGAGCAGGACAGAAACGAGGTGAGTGAAAAGCCTCAGAGGGGTTGCGGTTTAGAGCTTAGAGGTTAGGGTTTGGGGTTTAGGGTTTAGGGGTTGCGGTTTAGAGCTTAGACTACTATTTGCTTAAGAACCACCAAAAAATAAAGAAAAATATTCCTTATAGGGATAATATAGGGATTATCATTTTTTTATTTTTGGGGGGTTCTTAAGCAAATGGTAGTAGAGGTTAGGGGGTTTGGGGTTTGGGGCTGCGGGCTGAGGATGTTGAGAAGCTCTTTTCTGTTGTTGGCTGTTTTGGGTTCAGAAACTAGGATACCCAGTAACCTAAGAATAAAAAGGCCTCTCTTTTTGGTATTGGGTAACGTTATAAGGAACCTAGGACTACAAAAAGGGAATAAGGGTACTACTGGGCATCCTAGGAAACAAGGGCTTGAAGTTTGACCAGTTTCTCGGGCCAAAGGGGAGAGTCACGTACGACCATAGGCTATAGGCAAAGACCGGCTAACATCTGCTGTAGGAGATTTTGATAACGAAACATCAACGCAGCAGAGCATAAAAAAGCCTGCAAGCTAAACAACTACCCGATGTCCCGGGAAAAATGCGGGAAGGGTCCTTATTTATAAAGCATAATATACCCCCAAACCTTATTCTAACTATTAAGGCCCCTATTTTGACTCCAAACCCATTCCGTACGCACCTGAGTCTTGAACCGTCGTGCATCAACCCTGGCCTCGACCCCTTGTTTGAAACCTTAACGACAATAGGGCTCCTTTCCACCGGAGCTTATAAGGGTTTAGGGTTTAGGGTTTAGGGTTTCGGTTTAGGGCTTAGGGCTTAGGGTTTCGGTTTAGGGTTTAGGGTTTAGGGTGTACTTAGAGGATCATGGGACTTAGCAAGTAGGTTATTAGTGGGTGATAAGTCCCCTAAGTGGGGTTATCCGAATTATAACTTACTTATGACCTTACTTACTACGTCCCATGAGCCTCCAAGTAATCACTCGACCCCAAATCCTAGAGCCTTACATCCTCAACACCTCAATCCCGAATGACATGAAGCCTAAATCCAAAGCCCTTGCATCCCACACGCTACACCTTTACTCTCAACCTCGTTAGTCGCTTTCTTAAGGCAACCCACAGACACTTTCAAGACCCTGTAAACACATGTACACCCAAAAAACACGAAGCCCCGTACACCCTACATAACTTTAAACCCTAAGACCTAAACCCTGAATCCTAAACTCAACCAGATACAAGCGAAACTCCCATTCCACCCTAAACCCTGTAGTAGAAGCCAACAAGTTGGAACATTAGACTCCTCATGCCCTAAAGGTAAAGTATAAGGGATCCTAGCACTAATCCCCCTAAAGCCATGTTCCAACTTTCTGGCTTCTACTGTAGGCCTAAACCCTGAGGATTCCACCCTAAACCCTAGGCCCTAAACCCTAAACCCTAAACCCTAAACCCTAAAACCCTAAACCCTAAAACCCTAAACCCTAAACCCCTAAACCCTATACCCTAAACCCTAAAGCCCTAAACCCTAAACCCTAAAGCCCTAAACCCTAAACCCCTAAACCCTAAACCCTAAACCCTAAAGCCCTATACCCTAAACCCTAAACCGGCCCTAGGCCTAAACCCCGAGGACCCTAAGATGCTGGGCTCTGCACTGCGAGCCGCCTATGCATGTGCTTTTGGCTTCGGTTTAGGGTTTTAGGGGTGTAGGGGTTTAGGGGTTTAGGGTTTAGGGTTTAGGGTTTAGGGTTTAGGGTTTAGGGTTTAGGGGTTTAGGGGTTTAGGGTTTAGGGGTTTAGGGTTTAGGGGTTTAGGGTTTAGGGGTTTAGGGTTTAGGGTTTAGGGGTTTAGGGTTTAGGGGTTTAGGGTTTAGGGTTTAGGGTTTGATTCAGGGCTTAGGGGTTTAGGGTTTGACAGGCTGGGGGTAGTACCATGCTTCATTTTTGAAGCTTACTTTAAATCGTCCTTTGAGGCTTTCGGAAGGGTTGGGCTTAGGGCCTCTTGGGCTAAACCCTAAACCCTAAGTCCACGGTTTCTGTTTTAGGTTTAAGGGTTGAGGGTTCAGGGGCTTCGGACCCCTTGTACAGCTCCATAAATCCCTTGAGGAAAGATCCCTGTCGATCCCCTATCTCAAAGGGTAAAAGGAGGGACCGCTAATAAGGACCTCTAGGTATATACCCATAAAATAGCCATCATATACCCATTATAGGGTAGGGGTCCCCATTAAGGGTCCCTGCTTTTCCCCTTTGCATGGTTTGAGGATACACGGCTTAGGGCTGAACTGCTTCATATAAAGCCCCTTATAATGAAGCCCGATAAGGTAGGGATATCCCCATAAAATGCTTATGCTTATGTGCTTTTGGGTTCCCTTATAGAAGCCCCGCCTGAGAGACCACCGGCAGGACGGAGATGCTTTAGCAAAGCCCTCTCATCCCACTCGACGCGGTCCTGGCATCAAGGACTTTGGAGGCTTCGTGGTTGCTTGCCTAACCAGTCCCTTGGTTTTTGGGGGTTCCCTTGACTTTAGCTCCTTATTTAATAGGGATTATCATCATCCCTGGCTCCTTAGCTCCCCCAATATCAATGGTTAGTTGCAGATACAAGGTACGTCTGCCCCAGGTATAATCAAGCTGGCTATATGCAGCCTCGTTTACTTGGGTGAGACTGCAGCCACACTTCTACGTAGGGTGAGGGCTGCAACTGCTTTAAACTGTACGGATTTTGGCCTATATTGGGCTTGAGGGTCCACTTGATCTCACTGTTGCTGATGCCATAACCAACGGTTACCGCAGGTTTGCGGCTCACGGCTCGGTTCTGACTGGGAGACGTCAAGCTTTTTGTGATGCGTACTGTGAACCTCCATGTCTGTCCAACATGTCCTACACCCCCTAAACCCTAAAGCACTAAACCCCAAACCCACAAACCCTGGGCACGCCTAAACCCTGCCTAAACCCTAAACGGTCAGCCGACGAACTTCAGTGTTCTGAGAAGCCACTACGTATGGAGTATTTTGAAAAAGGACCACATCATTCCGCCTCCCTGCTTAAGAAATCCCAATCCGAAACCCTAAACCCCTAAACCCGCTATAGGCTTACACATTCAACACCCGGTTTAGGCTTACACATTCTGGCCCTAGCATCGAAGCCTGTCTTGAGCTTTCAGGACTTCTGGGGTATAGGGTGCGGGGATTTCTGGGGTTTAGGGTTCTAGGGTTCTAGGGCTTCCGGTGTTTATGGTTTAGGGCTTTAGCTTTGTCAGTAAAAATGAAACTTGAGCTTAAAGATCCGCTGACCTACTTGGACCTTATAATATCAAAATTATTATAAATAGGGGGCAAGACTGTGGTTGAAAGTCTACAACTTTACGTCTTGGGAGGTTAGGTTGTACTAATTAGTAACCTAGTTCGGAAACGTCTGCATGGTGCTCAAGCAGAGTTCGAGTAAGGTCTTACTGTCGCTGTGCGTCACGAAACACCCGGTTCGGATATCATGATGCTTCTTTCGTTACGGTAATTGTTTGCGGGTGTTGGGCGTTCGACACACAGGAGATATCTTCAGGTTTGTCAGATCTTCACCTAGACGGTGGCAGAACTTACACCCTGGGTGGCTACCTGCCCTCCAAAATCGCACTGGCACCTGACTTTATAAATCCAGTCATAACCAAAGCAAGATGTTTTACAACTACGTTAGACCCTCGATTTCTTTGGAGGTCAAATGTTCAAGTCTTCGGCTGAAAACCTTAAAGCCCAAACCAAACTCTGCTCGATTTTTTGAGGAAAGCTTATGTTTTTCGGTTGACCCACAGAAAAGAGCGATAACATCAAAACAAACAAAAGCTAACGCCAAGTATTGAAACAAGAGCCGGATAGGCTGAGCCTCTGGGCAACCTCATTACGTCGATAGTCATAGATCCCTTGCAAGACCCCTCAAGGAAGACATACAAACTGCAGAACAACAAACCCTAAACCCCTGAACCCTTAACTCTAAACCCTAAACCCTAAACAACAAACCCTACACCCGGCCTCCCCGCAGAACATCTGTCTGAGTTCTGCTGGTCTAAAAGCTGCTAGGCATTGAACCTTGTCGGCAGCTTAGGGTTTAAATGAGGTTTTAAAGGGAACTCCAGAAAGTTGGAATATGGTTTCAGGGTAGGATACCCTATAATTTACCATAATGGGGTTAGGATAATAATGTTCCAACTTTCTGGCTTTTACCTTAGGGTGTAGGGTTGCAGGGCTTAGGGTTCTAGTGGCCTGGACAGTCAGAATCAGAAAGCAACCTAGATAATGTAGGGGCCGGAGAACTCGAAGGTGCTTTTGGGAGTGGCATTATCGGGCACAGTATAGGGGGCGTGGGTTTAGGGTGTAGGGTCTAGGGGTATACTTACTATAGTCTATAGTCACTTTCATTATAGCGCCAGAAGGAGAACATAGTCACCAAGCTTCGGCTTCAGGGCACCAGGGTCATGCAAGCAGCGCAACGCCAGGGCCCAAACCCTAAACCTTGTGGAATTTAGAGCTCCAGGTCCATGAACTTCAAACACTCACCCACACCCTAAACCTTGCGCCCGAAACCAAAAATCTTACACCCTAAACCCTAAAGCCTAAAACACAAAAAAAATCGAAAAAGCCACCGTAAAGGGAACTCCAAACCCCCAAAAGAGCCCTCAGAGAGACCCTAGAAGGGACGCCAAACTCGCCCCCACCAAAACACCCAAGGAGCCGGACTGTCCTTGCTTACATATGCCCAAGGGTTAGGGATTAGGCTTCGAGGGTTTAGGGTTTAGGGGGGGTGTTTAGGGTTTAGGGTTTAAAGGGGTTCACACACTGGAGCTGGAGTGTCGCAAGGTCATATCCTTCCATACTTTCCAGCATGCCAGTCTTGATCTCCTTTGAGGCATGAGCCCTTCTTGCCGGAAGCAACCTCTTGGTTGCAGTCAACTCCTTGATGACTGAAGTCGATGATTCGTGCGGCCACCTATCTACCCGTACCTATCCATGTCTCCGTCTGCCTACATGGCTACCTGTCTGCGCATCTATCTGTCTACGCATCTACCCGTCTGTCTCGACGTCTGTCTGTCGGTCTGTCTGGCTGTCGGTCTGTCTGTCTGTCTTTCTCTGTCTCTCTCTCCTCTCTCTCTCTCTCTCTCTCTGTCTTTTCCGTCTGTCTGTCTCCCCTTTACCTGTGCAGGCATGCATATATCTACATATCTGTCTGTCTCTGAACCCTACATCCTAAAGTCTGAACTGCAAATCCCGAACGCTAAGCACCAGATGCCTAGATCTGAACTCTAAGTTCCTATGCCCTGATGAAGCGGATCCAAGCGTGCCATGAAGGAGAGGATTTAGATTTAGGGTCATTGGAGGGTCCGGGGACTTAACTTAGTAAGTAGGTAGTAAGTAGACTTATAAGTACCCTAAAAGGGACCCTAATTGGGGTTATGGTGCTTATAAGTCTATAAAATATCCAGTTACTAAGTCCCCCGGCCCTCCAAGTAGGGTTTTGGATAGGTGGGGTGAAGCCCGATCTTGCAATATGGGATCCTTCATCCAACCTATTGGGGCCTTAAGAATTAGAAAAGGGTCCTGGGGGCTCCTTACTAAAATGATAGCATACCATACCCCCAAACCCTATTCGAATTATTACGGCCCCTATACTATAGAACTCTACTATAGATCCCTTGTAGACCCCTTTATAAAGGGACCCTTTAAAGAACCCCTATTCTAATCTATTAAGGCCCCTATATTAACTACCTCCGCTGTACCTTCAAGCCCTCCGACCTGACCCCCGCGCCGAGCTCGCGGCAGGCAAAATCTCGTTGAGGCCTGCTCTGAATGCATCCACCTGACTTGGCTGACTTCTGAACCCCGCCAAAAAGTCAAACTGTTAGCCTACTTATTACTAAAGTTCATAAAGAAACCCAAAAAGTCAAACTTTTAGCCTACTTATTAATATAGTTCATATAGCAACCCAAAAAGTCAAAGTCCTAAGAGTCAACCAGAAGAAGCCCAAGCTGATGTGCCGGGGCTGCTGGAAGTTTCGAGCCCCAAACCCGTTTAGGGTTTAGGGTTTGGGGTTTAGGGTTTAGGGCTACAGTGAGCAGGGGTCCTTCGGATTCCTTTACAGATTCCTTGAAAAAGGGACCTTTTCGGCCGTAGGGTGTAGATTCTACTTTCAGGGTCAGGGGCCTTAGCAAGTAGTGCCATAAGTGCGTAGATTGGGGTTATAAGTGATAAGTAGGTATAAGCACATTACGTATGACCCTAGTTACTAAGTCCCCTGATCCTCCAAGTTGGGTTCTGGGACCCAAAATACAACGGTTGGTCTGACCGTTCAGACTTCTAAGAGGAGCAAAAATACCTTGCAATTCTTGGAAAGTTGGCGGACTTCTGAACCCCTCCTACAAGTTAAACTTTTAGCCTCCTTATTATAGTTCATATAGAAACCCAAAAAGTTAAAGTCTAAAGAGCCAACCAGAAGAACGCCAAGGTACCTGAACAACAAAGAGTCCTGAACCGCAAGACGCTGCACGCTAAACTACTATTTGCTCAAGAACCCCAAAAAAGTAAAAAATATATTCCTTATGGGGGGTAATATAGGGATCATTCATTTTTATTTTTTGGGGGTTTCTTAAGCAAATAGTAGTAAACCTTACCGTGATATCACCGAACGTTAATTCAGAATGCACTTTTGCTTCAACATTTTACCGAGTGCTCATGTATATGTAAAGGTATATTCGTGAAGCAAGGGGTTATGGAGTTTCTGGGAGGGAAGATTGAAATGTTGCAGCATGGGTTAAAGACGATTAGTGCTAAACTTCCTTCTACATTACCGCAAGGGCCTTAAGGGCAGCAGGATGATGTAGTTCCATAAGAGTGTTCTTAAACCTTGACTCTAAACCCCGAAGCCTGTAAACCCTAAAAGGCAAGCCGAGATCTGTTGCGCAGATCCAAGCAAAATTTGCGAAACCCCTCCGGACGCAAATCTCTGACGTGCAAAACCCGTAACCGTCCCTGACCCTCAGGTTCAGAACCTAAACCTTAAGCTCCTAAACTTACACCTAACTCTTAAACTCTACACTCCTGAACCCCAACATGCCTGAAGCTCTGCACTCTAAACCCCAATAGCCCTGAACCTCTCGGTCTTGCCTGTGCCCGGATTCCGGTGTCGAACCAAAAGGCTGTGACCTGCCACCGAAGCAAGATCATGGCTTGGGGTTGAGGGTTTAAGGGTTTAGGGGTTCGGCATTTTTTAATGTGCACTGACTCTAACAAGAGAACTTAAGGGGTAGGGTTTAGGAGTTTAGGAGTTTAGGGGCCAGGGTTTATATGAGGGTTAGGGGTTTAGGGTTGAGGGTTTGGGGGTTTCTAAGGGTTCCTACAAGAGTTCCGTTCATGGGTCCTACAAGGGTTCCTTTAAGGCTTAGGGTTTCTGTCGGATTGGGGTCCCGGTCTCCTTCAGGGGCTCCTTTGGGGGATTCTGCAAGCGATCCTTTGAGGAATGCGGTGGTTTGTTGGGCTCAAGGTCTAGGTTTGCAAGCAGCCCCTTTATAATAAGGCTACCGCTCTTCCTAATATTTCACAAAGGGGACCCAATTATGAAAAGGGCAAAAGTGTACTAGAGGTTCAGGGTTTAGATGCTCTTGTGGGGTTCCTTCCAAGGATCCTCGGAGGCTCCTCTAAGGACTTCTTCCAAATGTTGGAAGGGTTCGGGAAACCAGGAGGCCGTTTGCAAGACGGTTTAAGGATGTAGGCTGTAGGGTTCGCTCTAAACCCTAAGATCTTTTTAGCAAAGAGTGGAATGTAGCAGCTTTGGTGAGACTTTGCAACTTCGGTTAGAGTTTAGTGTTTTGGGGTTTAGGGTGTGCTTGGAGGATCATGGGACTTAGTAAGTAATTAGGCTATAAGTGGGGTTATAAGTCCCCTAAGTGGGGGTATCCTAAGTATAACCTACTTATAACCTTACTTACTAAGTCTCATGAGCCTCCAAGTAGGGTCTAGCTTATCTGACTGGGAATGACTCCCTGAAGAAGGCGAGCTACCCCAAACCTGAAACCCGGCCAAAGCTGACGTCTTAGCGTTTACTTTGCAGCCGCCTCCCCCTATTGCCCCAATTAGAGTGTGATGATATATGCCCAAAGACAATGTTCTACTTACTCAGGCCCTCCCTATTTCCATGTTTTCAAACACCCCCATAAAACACAAGAACGTGTATTAGAGCTTATGAACCATCATGTTGCTGAGAACACCCCCTTCTTAAAGTTGTCCGAAGGGACTACCTAGGCCCCAAACAGCCCCTGAAGCCCAAACCCCCAACCCTGCCAGAACCCTAAAAGGAATCCTCAACCCCGTAAGCCCTGACTCAACGCCAAACCCCAAACGCGCAGAATCTTATGCAAACCCCCACCTGGTCCAGGAAGTCGTCGAGATTATCCAGTGTGACCGGAATGTTCTCGCCGCCGGGGCGCAAGGATGCGCCACTCAGCCCTAGAAGGGGCTGGAGAATTGCAGATCGGGTTTCGATCCCTTGAAGGGCTCCGAAAATTCCTGCTGATCTGCTTAGAAGCCCTACTCCCCACAGACACGGAAGCCTGAATAATTAGTAGCACAGTTCCGTAGGATTCCTTGTTGTGCTTATACTCAATATGCCTCCGAGAACCGATTGGAAGTATTCGGCAACCTAGACTAAAGCCTTCTAACAACCCTCATAGTAACCCGTATAGACCCTCATAGAAGAAGCCCTTTAATAACCTCGGACAACTGGTACTTCTAACCCAGCTACACCTGCATTGTTGATCCACGCTGTCCCTTAGTCAGGTGCCTCATGGTAGAAGCCTTAATGATTAGAACAAGGTTTGGAGCTTCTTAATAATAGCAAAATATGATGAGAAACCCTGAGCCGGCGCCAGTCGTCTTCTGAAGAAGCAGCAAGGAACTGAAGCTGGTGTTCGGACAAGTCCATCATTTCTTTCAGCAATCTAAATTGCATCCACCGTCATACTTACAGAAGCTGCGTGCCGCAGAGCTGATGCTCATCGGCTGACCCGCACCCAGATCACCGAAAAAACGCGGCGCAGCTTGCACCGATGCGTGAGCTATGGGTTCGAAGCTTGCAACAGTCATGCGCATAAAGGTTCGGCGGCGCTGTTGGAAAACATTTTTCTCATGACGAAGCATTTTTGCCAGATCTCTCACAACTTGCATATGGCGGCACACAGGCCAAGCCAAGATATGAGGATGTAAAGATCCACGACCCTGAGCTACAGTTCACCACGGAAGGCTAGACTGGGACCCAACATGTCAGCGGATTCCAAGTAAACCGAATCAAAGGGCTTCAAGTGTGGGATGAATCTAGCTGGGGTAGGGGTAATCCCAACTTAAGACTCCTAAAATGCCCTAAACCCTAAACTGTTGAACCCCTAAACCCTAAACCAAAAACGTCCTTATCCAAGGGATCCTTCGTCCTACTTATCTACCTTCATCCCACTTTTTGAGGCCTCCGAACCGAACCTTAAACCCCAGGGTTTGTAAAGTTTGGGGTTTAGGGTTTCCTCCACTTTTTGAAGCCTTCGAACCGAACCTTCAGCACTCCCAACCCAAAGGGTCCTATGTACTGTTATGGGGGATACTTCCCTAAGTCATAGTAGTAATTCCTAATATAGAAACCCTACATTCTACTATAAAGGTACTTTGGACCCTTTGGGCAACCTCAAACTTCCCGACCTTACTCCTCTGACGCAACATGACGCAAACATCATCTCCTGCAGATCCAGAACAGCCGCAGAATCTCCGCAGATTCTTAAAACGAAAAAGCAAGAACTTGTAGTGGTGGAGGGGCCTTCTGAGAATAGGTCTGAGGCGTATATTCTGGTGTAAGTACTGCATAGAAGGGCTACTGATATTCATTATTCAAGCCCCTTTATCCCATTGAAAAACCATCCCCGCGCCTGTTTCGAGGAAGCTAACGCCCAGCAATTTCCTCGGCATTTTCCAAACATAGCAGGCGCACGAGAATCTTATAAATTTGGGGGCCAAGGCTTTACACTTTACCCTAAACCCTAGACCCTAATCCCCTGTGAGCATCCGCTTCACTACATGCGCACGGCTGGCGAAACCCCTTCATACCTAGAGGATCTGGAGACGTAGTAGGTGGGGTTATAGTTATAGGTACCTTTAAATCGGGGTTATAAATAAATGTAGGTCGTTGTCAAAATTATGGTGCCTCTTTGGGTACCCTAAATATTAGGTGCCATATTATAATAAGGACCCAGAGAGGGACCATGATTTTGACAACCACTCATGTAACTGTAGTTATAGCCATACTTACTAAGTCCCTTGAACCTCCAAGTAGACCTAAATCTGAAACCTCAGACCTCTATACAACCCTTATGGGAATACCAAATCCCTACAACGAACCGCCTTAGCCTTACAGGATGTATCCAAGGAACCCCTAATCAGTCCCCTGAACCTCCAAGCAGAGCAACGACAGCACGAGGAGCTGAAGGCCATGGCGGGTTTAGGGTTTATAGTGAACCCCAGAAAGTTGGAACATGGATCTAGGATGAATAGTGCTGGGATTACATATGCTTTACCTTAGGAGCATGCGGACAATGATGTTCCAACTTTCTGGCTTCTACTATAGGGTGTAGGGTTTAGGGTGTAGGGTTCACGGTTCAGGTTCATGCTAGCACTTAACACCCCCTATCCCGTCTCCAAGTTGAAGCAACAGCAGCACTGCACAAGTTCTTTGCCGGATGAACCCCGTGACGCGAGGAACTAGACCTTAATTAGCATAAAACCTCATACACGGGTCTGCATGATTAGACCCGGGATTTGCGGTCTAGTGTAGTAGAACTATGATAAGGAGAACACCTCACCCCCTCGAACCTTACTGTCTGCCAAGAACCCACCTTCTTCAAGGACCTAGTTATCTGGGGAGTCTATCAATCAGGGGTCTACATAGATTGAGTCTTTCCCACAAAAGAACAGACCCTAAGTCCTACTAGTAGTTGAGAGCTCCCTAAACCCTAAACCCTAAACCCTAAACTCTAAACTCTAAACCCTAAACCCTAAACTCTAAACCCTAAACCCTAAACTCTAAACCCTAAACCCTAAACCCTAAACCCTCAGCCCTGCACTCCAAAGCCTATGTCAGGACTCATCGGTTCAAGGCTTAGGCTTGAATCTTAACCCGCACTAGAACCTAGGATACCCAGTAACCTAAGAATAAAAAGGCCTCTCTTTTTGGTATTGGGTAACTTTATAAGGAACCTAGGACTACAAAAAGGGAATAAGGGTACTACTGGGCATCCTAGGAACCCAAACCCTAGACCCTAAACCCCAAACCCTCCATACACCCCAAGTCGCCCCAAAGCTCTAACAGTTGAAACCTAAAGCCTCGCACCTGAAACTTTGAGCTGGCGAGTGGCAAGTAGTCATCTAGTGACAGCTGCTGGCCAAGCCTGGCAGTGCTTTCTTGAAGGCTTAGGGATTTCGACATTGGGGTTTAGGGATTAGGGTCTGGGGATTAGGCAATTGGGGCTTGCGGCTTGAGGGGTCAAGGCATTAGGTATTTGGGATTTCGGGGTGCAGGGCTTCAGGCGTTTAGGAGATGGGCATTCCAGGTCAAGGCCGTGCCGGCTCGGTGCTCACAGGTGCAGGTCTAGCCCCTAAACCCTAATGTAGGGGCCTTAATAATTAGAATAGGGGTTTTTGGGCCCATTATACGATACTTGTCAATAAGGAACCCCCCAAAATAGTATTGGTAATATTTAAGCCCCTAGAGTAAATCGTTAGTGTTCAGGGTTTAGAGCACGCGGGGAGCGGCTTCGTGCAGTCTGTACAGCCTTGTACATCCTATATAAACCCTAAACTTTTACATCCTAAAACTTAAACCGTAAATTCATAAATCCTAAACCTTAAACCCTGAACTTTAAAAATCTTGAACCCTATGCCGCAAATTTACATATCCTAAACCTTAAACTCTGAAGTGAGCCATACAAAGCGCCAGGAGGCAGGTCACGAAGGGAGCTTCACGCCAGCCGGGAGGAATGGCAGCACCGAAGACGCTGCGAGGCAGCCACATTAAACCCTAAACCCTAAACCCTAAACCCTAAAACCCTAAACCCTAAACCCTAAACTTCTCTGCAGCTGCGAGCGACGACCTCGACTCTGCGTGTGCGGCACGCCGCTTCCGGGAAAAAGGAAGCCAGAGCCCATTCTTTGCGACTCCACAGCGGCAAATGCGAGCTGGACAAAGCCGTAGCCTGTAAGGCGTGCCGCGTAGTCACATCCTGGGCTTGTTCTTGTCTCAAAGCCACGTAAAAAGAATACGACATAGCTGGTTGAGCCATCTTGTATACGCTTTGCCACCCAAGCCAAAAGGGCCTTGAAAGCCGGCGCTCGGTACCAAGCCCCAACACTTCAGGGTTTAGGGTTTAGGATTTGGGGTTTAGGATTTAGGGTTTGGGATTTGTAAAAGTAAAAACCCTACTTCCTCAACGAGCCACAGAAACAAAAGGTGAGGCTTTCAGAAGTTTAGGGTTTAGGATTTCTAAATCTAAAAATGAGGGTTCAGGGTCTAAGGTTTATGAGATTTAGGGTTTAGGATTTCTATACATCTAAAACTGAGGGTTCAGGTTCTAAGGTTTATGAGGCTTAGGGTTTAGGATGTCTATAAATCTACTTTTGAGAGTTCAGGGTTTAAGGTTTATGAGGTTAAGGGTTTAGGATTTCTATAAATCTAAATCTGAGAGTTCAGAGTTTAAGGTTTATGAGGTTCAGGGTTCAGGATTTAAAACTGAGGGTTCAGGGTTTAAGGTTTAGGAGGTGTAGGGTTTAGGATTTATAAACTGGTTTAAGATTTATGAGATTTAATGTTTGACTCTTTATAAACCCCTTCAGCTCTGAATCTCGAACCCCTTAACCCTGAACCCCTTAACTCCAAAAGCCTTAGTCGGTTCCTGAGTAGCCCCTAAATACTAAGGGTACCCTTTTTTCCTACTACTGTACGTTAAAAAGAGAGCCCGAAAAGGAAAATCCGCAAAAGGGTACTTCTCAGGAACCTAGCTTCTGGAAACCCTGAAAGCTTGAAGGAACCCTTCCGGACTTTGAAGTAACCATGGAGAAAACATGTAACATAAGAACCTGATTAGGAAACCCTGGGTCTTTGTTAGGGTCCCTTGTATGAACCCTAATATCTTAGGGTGATAGGGCCAGGGTTTCTGAATCAGGGGGGTTTAGGGTTTAGGGTTTAGGGACCCTAAACCCTAAACCCTAAACCGTTTCATTTTATCACGGTTCCGGGTACCAGAAGAAGTAGCCAAGTTTGGCACTCCAAACCCAGGTCTTCTATGACATGGGAGTTTCAAAAAAATCGGGGTACCTTATTTTGGGGTCCTTGTTATAAGGATCCTGCTATTTGGGGTACTATATTAGGGTCCCCTGTTTTCGGAAACCACCATAAAATAGGGATACCCTATATTTCGGGATAAGGATCCTACCATTTAGGGTACTATATTAGGGTCCCTATTTGGGAAAACCCCCATACATAAATTCTCAAACTCCGGGACCGCGACGATTCCGTCTCTTCCACTTTGCTGTCGATGCCAGCACTGCCTCCGGATTTAGAGGTTCGTTACACGGGCCCCCAGGAGTATCCAAGAAGTAGATCCTTTTATGGGGGTTCCTATAAAGTACCCTTAGTAGTACAGGGCCCCAAATTGGGGATCTACTTTCTAGATCCTCCCGGGGGTCTGAGTACATGGGTTCTACAAGGTTGGTTGTGATTCACAAATCCTTGATATATACTGATTCTCACTAAAAATGTTCACAACGTTTCATGGGCTGTACAAGTTCTTTGGGGGGGCCTTCTAAGTTGTTAAAGGGCCGTAGAGACTGTAGGGTGGTTTAAGGTTCTAGATCCTGGTCCACCAGCAACCTCATATAGCAATCTTACATTTTTGCCTATTCTTCACTAGTAAAAGTAAACAGACTCCAGATATCAAACGAGCAACTGCGTACTACTTGGGGCCTCGCTTTCGGGGCTTGGAATGTACATAGGGCGTCGGGCTAAGAGTGAATAGGGCTTAGGGTATATAATGAAGTCTCGCGTGATAGACGCACCTACTTGTGGACTGTCGAACCACCCCTTTACACCCCAAACCCCAAACTCCTAAACCGCAAACCCTGAAGCCCTTGCCCTAGGTGACATGATCTGATCATGAATGCATTTCCAAACGCCCTGATGGCCAATTCCACGACTGTCCATTTCCTAAAGATCCTAATGCTTAAACCACCCAAAACTCCTAATCTCTAAGCCCCAAACCCCAAACCCTAAACCCTAAACCCCCTAAACCCTATAAAGCACGAACCCTAAGCCTGAACCCCCAAACTGGCCCTAAACCCTAAACCTGGGCGCCCGGAACTCTCCACCCTGGTTGGTTTCAGTTGTCCCACTACCTTAACCTACCAGAACCTACTTTTTTGTAGGGTCCCTATAAATCCCATACTAGGGTTTAGAATAAGAGCCTACAAAAAAGTAGGGTTTAGTAGGTCGAGGTAGTCGATGACTTAATGTAGGGGCCTTGATAATTAGTCTAGGTTGGCCCCTTAAAGCCTCTGAAAAATATTCGTAAATAGGGTCCTACTAAGCCCAATAAGGAAAATATAAAATGTCCCAAAGGCCTACCTAGTAGTATAGGGTTTGAAGCGGTTTTAATGAAAGAAACATATAGCAAGGAACTTTGAGGAGGGTTGGGGGATCTTCAAACTTAGACCCGCGAGGTCCCTTGTCGCGGGAAACTCCCAGACGGGAACCAACAAACTTAAACTAGCTCTCGGAGAGTTAGCGCCTGGGACCATTCTTTCCCAACTCCGAAAACACCCTACACCAGGGTTGCCCTGTTTAAGTGCCGATTCAATAGAACATAGAAAGAAAGATAAATGAAGGCACCTCCTTGAAAGGATTCCAATTTACGACTTAACGTGCCCAGAGACTCCAATATCCCTTAGCTAAGGAATATTCCTTAAATCATATTAGGGACCCTACTAAAGTTTAAGGTATATGCCCTAGTTAATGGATGTTGGAGTCTCTGGGTAGAGGGCCCTGTCTACTTCCCTTAAAGGGAACTCCAGAAAGTTGGAATATGGTTTCTTGGTAGGATACCCTATAATTTGCCATAGAAGGGTTAGGATAATCATATTCCAACTTTCTGGCTTTTACCTTAGAAGGACGACCCTACCTCAAAACCCAAACCATCCTGCCCTAAACCCCTAAACACCCTAAGCCGTAAACTCGTAACTTCCTAAACCCTAAACTTCCTAAGGCCCGGACCCCTGAACCCAAAACTTCCTAAAGCCCTGACCCCTAAACCCTAAACTTCCTAAAACCCTAAGCTCCCTAAGCTCTAAACCCTTAACTGTACTGAACTTAGAACCCTAGCAAAAATTATAATTTCAGCTGTTTCTTAGGGACTATAATAACCAAAAAGTAAAAGTTATTTCTAGGTACCCCTAAGCACAAGCCTGCATCGGAAGCCAAGAACCGACTCGTAAAGTCTGGTCTCGCGGCCTCGCAGGGCTCACAGGGTTTCTTTAAAGAGGCCCAGAGACTCCAAAACCCCTTAATTAAGGAATACCTAGGGTTCCTTTAAGGGTTCCTTTAAAGGGATCTGTAGGGTTTAGGGGATTCTAATATCCCTTAATTAAGGAATACTCCTTAAATCATATTAGGGATCCTACTATAATTTAAGGTATAGTCCTTAATGAAGGGGTATTGGGCTCTCTGGGTAAAGAGGCCTATAAGGGAATTCAGGGTTCCTTTACAGGGAACTATAGTGGTTCAGGGTTCCTTTAAAGAGACCTAATCAGGGAATTTAGGGTTCCCTTTAAAGGGATCTATAGGGGTTTTGGGTTTAGGGCTTTGGGTTCAGGGCTTACCCTGGATGCCGTGGGGCTGCCCTGGGGTTACGGCTACGGTTATATTCAACCTAAGCTTTAAGGTTCAGGGTTTATGGGTTTAGGGTTTAGGGGCTCAGGCTTTCGGGTTTACAGCGTTGGGTCCGGGTTTAGGGTTGCTTTAACACCCAAAATCTGAACAAGATTCCTTTGCAATAGCCAAACAGTCGGAACATCATTCTACTGCCTACCCTGAGCCCGAAGCTCTACACCCCGAACCCTAGACCTCCTTTAAAGCATCGAGAGTCCCAGCAGCTATCGTCCCGACATGTTCGGAGCTTTCTGTGATCGCCAGCCCAAGCTCCGCAACGGCAAAAGAAGCTTTGGGCTTTGTTTAGGGTTTAGGGTTTAGGGCTCTTTTACTAGGATACCCAGTAACCTAAGAATAAAAAGGCCTCTCTTTTTGGTATTGGGTAACTTTATAAGGAACCTAGGACTACAAAAAGGGAATAAGGGTACTACTGGGCATCCTAGTTTGGGCTTTGCGGCGGAGGGTTGACATTTTGCAGTCGAAAGTTCAGGATTTCGGGTTTGGATTTCAGTGAAGTTGGCACACAGCCTTCCTCATGTCACATGGGGACCGTAGTACTCTCAGCACGTTTCTGGAGTATACTATAGCAGCATTCTACAGGGAGTATAAGGGAATGGTACTGGTAAGAACTGACAGGCCTATGTTGTGTTGTGATTTTTTTGAAAGTGGGTCCCCTATCTAGATAGTTGAAAGCTCCCTGTGCAGACGAAAAAATTGTGGATGGAGCATCCGATTTCAAGATGAAGTGGCTGGATTTCATGCAGCCCCCCCCCCCGAATCAGGTAGGACAAGCATTTTGTCCTTTGAGCGACAATGCTGTAAGGTTTCAGGAGCGATCATACTCAAGGAGCTTCATCTCGATCGCATACATCCGGAACTCCAGGTAGTCTGTCATTTTCCGGAGCATGTCATTTTCACACAAAACTTGGCTTCACGAACTGCATTGACCCCTTACACCCCGATACTACAAATCCCTATGTGGTCCTAAACTCAACACCCTAAGCCCTTCGTCCTTAAGGGGGCTTCCAAGTTGCAGGTGTTAGGGCTTCCGGCTTATTTGCTTTCCTGAGTAGCCCCTTTATTATCAGGGTACCCTTTTTCCTAATCTGGGTTGTAGTTTTGGGGGCTCTGAAAAGTATTTATGAATAGGTACCTCTATAGGAACCATAAGGGAAATTAAAAGTTTCTCAAATTGCCACCTAGTAATTTTCATTTTTCATAAAGGGGACCCTGGGGTGATCTTCGGGAAGGGCTTCCGGATGGTTGGGCAGCTCGGGGTTTGTACAAGGGCCCTAGCAGTTCTTCATTTACTAGGATACCCAGTAACCTAAGAATAAAAAGGCCTCTCTTTTTGGTATTGGGTAACTTTATGAGGAACCTAGGACTACAAAAAGGGAATAAGGGTACTACTGGGCATCCTAGTTTACTTCCCCAATGAGCCACAGAAGCAAAAGGCTAAACTTTCAGATCAAGAACCCAAAAGCTTGAAGGTTGGGCATATGTGAACTAAGTTCATGGGATATTTCAGGGAAGGTCGTTCAAAAGGGAAGGCACTAGGGATCGGATCGGTCGGGAAACTCTAGAGGAGCTGACGGAGCACTGCTAGGAACAACTAGGGATTACTAGGCTATATATCCCCCTTGGACCCTAAACCCTTAAGGATTGCAAACTCCGATTTCACGGAGCACCAAACCTTGCAAACCCCGTATGATAGGTGCGGAACCTGTTAATCTGTGCCCAGATCATTCCCACATCTGAGGCGACAATCCCCCGGATGCGTATTTGGATGTAGCATGGCGCCGGACCCGAGTGTGACATCTACAATCCCAGAACACCCTTAACTCCTGAACCCCAAAACCCCTAAACTCACAGACCCTCCTATAGAACCTTGTCAATCTCTCGGCAAAATCCGCCTATAAGATCCCAGGGACCCGAAGAAATCGCTCGGCCTCTTCGTGGCACCAGGCATCTCCTCTTCCTTCCTGCTAGCTGGGGGTGATCACAGGGTTTTAAGGGAACCTTAAGGGGGTTTCCTTGGCTGACTTTTTGAAACCCCTTTAAAAAGGCTAAACTTTTAGCCTCCTTATTATAGTTCATATAGAAACACAAAAAGTTAAAGTCCTAGGAGCCAACCAGAAGAACGCCAAGTTTTGACTAGGATGCCCAGTAGCCTAGGAATAAAAAGGGCTCCCTTCTTGGTGTTGGGTAACTTTGTAAGGAACCTAGGACTACGAAAAGGGAATAAGGGTACTACTGGGCATCCTAGTTGAAGAAGCATCACAGGGTTTTATAAGAGCCTTACAAGCTTTTACCGGAGCCTTATGGGGCTTTACTGGAGCCTTACGGGGGTTTAAGGAGCCTTGCAGAGGTTTACAGGAGCCTAGCAAGGTTTCAACAAGAGTTTTTGTAGGGTTTTAAGTTTCAAGGGCCTTGTATGCGTTTTATGGGCTTCAGGAGTCTTTATGGGGTGTTAAAGGGCGTTGTAGTTTTATAGGGCTTTAAAGGACCTTGAAGACGTTTTATGGGCTTTAGGAGGAAGGAGGATGGGGTTAGGTTTAGGACGGTTTAGGCGTTTAGCATTCAGGGTCCCAGCCTGCCAAGCCCTACACCCCTCCTGAACCCCTAAACCCTACACCCTAAACCCGAAACCCCTAAACCCCTAAACCTTAAACCCTAAACCCTAAACCCTAAAGAACCCTAAACCGTCCCCAAGACCTCAACTTTAGAGTGCCCACGTTCCGAAAGTGCGTAGGGCCAAATCTTGTACGGTTGATGATATAAATCCTGCACAGCTCTAAGGACCTTAAACTATGGGAATAACGATGTATTCCTTCTTATGGGTAATGATTTCTATCATCAGAAGCAGGACTTAGGGGCTGGCTCGGCATACCGAACAAGCCTCCCCCCAATTCGCTAGGGGTTCCTTCCTGGGTTCTACGAGGTCGTACGAGGCTTTGGGGTTTATATGGGTTTGTCAGAATTATGGTCCCAAATTGGGTACCCTAAATATGAGGTGCCGTACTATAATAAGGACCCAAAAAGGGACCATAATTTTGACAACCATCCATACAGGGCTGGGATGAGGTTTAGGGGCTTAGGGTTTAGGCTTTACGCTTCTATATTTGGGCCGTAGGACTTGAATTTACACTCTGAAAATTTACAGCCTGAGAATTTTAAAGGCTTTGGCTGTAAACCCTCATATGTAGCTTCGGTGTCTTGTTGGGGCTAAGGAAAAGTGAACATAAACCCTACATTCTGAACCTCAACCGGGATGAATGCGGTTCATGGAAACCAGAACCTACAAGCCTTCGCGATCGGATCATTTACTTAGGGGTCCTAGGATGCCCAGTAACCTAAGAATAAAAAGGCCTCTCTTTTTGGTATTGGGTAACTTTATAAGGAACCTAGGACTACAAAAAGGGAATAAGGGTACTACTGGGCATCCTGGGGTCTGACTTGTATGGACAAAACATCCTGGCTTGTAGAACACCTTCTTAAAAGGTTAACCTTGTCTAGCCTCTAACAGAACCAGCCACCCCAAAACTCAAGGTGCTGAGGTTCTAAGTTCTAACTTAGTTTCAAACAGAACCCTTTCACACCCGACTAAAGCCCCTCATCAGCTATATTCTCAGTAGCCCGTTAATAACGAGGGTGTCTCTTGTTTTACTATTCGGTGGTCTTGAAAAAACAACGTAAAATGCCCAGAAAAAGGACACTACGGGGAGAACTCCTAAACGCGAAGCCGACTTCTTTCTCTGGGCTCCTTCTGTCCGTGCGAAATGTGCTCGGCAAATTTCGCCAGAGCACCTGCAGGTTGGGTCGTTTGTGGCTTATGTTGTTCGTGCTTGCGTGTGCGCGCGGGTGTGTGAGAGAGAGAGAGAGAGAGGGAGAGAGAGAGAGATAGAGAGAGGGGCCGGGGGTCTGCAACAAGGGTTTCAGGGGCTGGGCGGTATTTTGGGGTTTCTGGCCTTCCCTAACCTTAAGCCGTGGCTTTTTGGTCTATACTGAACCTAGACCCCTAGCAAAGATCGTAATTTTAGCTGTTTCTGAGGGATTACAGACGATTTCAAATTTCTGTTCACCCCTAAGTGGCCGGGTTCCAGGATCTAGCATAGCAGAGTGTACAGCCCGAAGTACAGGTGAGTTACGAAACTTGGCGGCAGCCATGTTATATTTACATCAACAGTTATATAGAAACCCAAAAAAGTTAAAGTCCTCCTACGAGTCAAACAGAAGAACGCTAAAGAAGCCTCTTAGGTCTGAGGATGCAATCGCTCATGCTCTTCTCTAGGGGCCTTGTATATGAGAGGAAAGTATACTGTTCTACCACCAAAAACCCAAATTGTTGTTGTTAAGGTGCCTACATGAAGGCTTTGAGACCTTTGGAATTAACTGCGCAACCCGAAAACCTCAGTTTGAGGTTGAAGTTTAGGCATTATAGGCTTGATCTGAGTTTCAGTTTCCCATAACGGCACTCCTTTCAAGCTCACCATGGAGTGCAGGTGTAGACCGTCAGCGAAGATTCTAGAGCCGACAAAGTCCGACTGCACAACGGCGAAACTCAACTCCAGAATTCCGAACACGATACCTAAACCTTAAACCCTAACGATAAACTTAGTTGTTGAGGTCATAAGCCCCCAAAAGTGTACAATTTTAGTTTTATAGTGGGTAATATTCTCCCAAAAAGTGTAAAGTGTATCCACTCAGCTATTAAGTAAATAAAGGAATGCCTCCTCTTTGTCTGCCCCAACAAACCTCAAAACCCAAACCCCAGCCTAAAACCTCAACCCGAAAGCTTTAAAGAAACACATGGGGGTCTCCGAAAAAAAAGGGGTACCTCATACTATACCCCCTTAGAACCATATTACAAATAGTATGTTTAATATTCTCTTGGGTTTTACATGAACAAAAAAGAAAATTATTTCCTAAGGCCACCATCGAATACTAGGGTCCCTACAATAAGGATTCTACTATTTCGGGTGCTCTATTACGGTCCCCTGTTTTCGGAAACTCCCAAATCACAGACAACACCGCCTAGGAGTTCGCCGGCCACACCAGCGCCCGGGCGCGGGAGATGTTTCCGGCCTTTCACCAAAACATAGGGTGTGGGGTTTGGGTTTTAGGATCTTCCCGATGGGGTTTTGGTGGATCCACTGCAACTACCTGGATTCCAGACCTCCTATTAGTTCGTGACTCTTTTCGAGTCAAATTGCTGCCAACAATTTGACCCAGTCGGTTTGGCCTTCTTGGTGCACATGAGATCAAGCTGGAGCCTGAATATTCTGAGGTTGTCATAGGTCTCTGTGGGAAAAAGCTAATCAAACCTACCTCATCGCCTCATCTTTGACAAAACGGATACTCACTTCAGACTTGAAGCTTTCTTACAAAAATCGTGACCGTAGTCTACTTTAGAGTTTAAGCTTCTGGGTTTAATATTTAGGACCCCGAACGACCTTTCGGTCAGGAGATGACGGATTGGCCATTGCAAGAAGTTGCGCGGATCCTTGCCCTGACTTTTGAGCCGCTTCTTCGCACGGTCCATGTTAATGTCCCGCAGCATCCTTCGCGAAAGTTGCAACACTTCGACGAAGCCAGGATCGAACGACCAGTGTTCCAGGGTGTCGACACCGTCGTCTTCCAGGTTGTACATCCGTGTTGTCGTAAAGAACACGATGCAGGCATCGCACAACCAGGGACTCGCCGCGTTTTGGTCGCACAACCTCCACTGCTGTTGCGGCAGGTCATTGACCGCAAACACGGTGAATGCTTGAGGTTGGATCCTGCGACCGAAAACTGCGTGCGCATGTGTGGCAGGTTCTGCGAACCCAACATCGGACGGCCAACTAGTTTGTCCGCTGAGCTTGACCAACAAAGCACAATGCATGGCGAAACGGTGGAGCAAGTCGCAGCGAAAGCCTGCTACAGTGCTGCAATGGTGAACACCAAATCCTGGAAATCACTACGATTACACTCGACCAGGCCCTGGAATCCAGGGCCCTGTACTCGATTTGGGCTGGGTTTTGCTGTGGAGTTTAACGGAAGAAGAATACTTTAATTGCTCCAACGGTGGACGAAGTCGCACAAATTTTCCATTCCTACAACCATCTCATTTACTGTCAGTTTTATCGTTGCTGCTATGCTAATCCCAACCCTGGCTTTGTCACCACAACCTGAACATAGAGCACTCTTCATTCTTCAGCCCTAAACCCCAAACTCCAAGGGTTAAAGGAGGGACCCTTAATCAGGACCCCTAGGTATATACCCTTAATATAGCTATTATACACCCATTATAAAGGCCCATTATAGGGTAGGGGTCCCCATTAAGAGTCCCTCCTTTTCCACATTGATTGAAGTAGTGGCCCCAAATAGAATCCTTAAGCCGAAACCCCAAAGACTGAAACACACCACTCACGACGGCCTAGGCTGTGGCCAAGGACCAAGGAGAAGAACTCCTGGAAAAGGGCAAGCTCTTGTCTTCAGGTCTTACAGGATTTGTAGGACTTCGGGATTTGAGCTTTAGGGCTTCAGGGTTTTAGGGTTCAGGGCTTTGTAGAGGGCGTTGTTAGTTCTAACATGGTCTGGGGGGGGGACATATGTAAATTCACAATATCGGGACTCCCAGTCGGACTCCTACAATGGCTCTTACGTACTCCTACGAGATAAGAACATCACACTTTTGTTTTGAATCCCCTTGTCATTGTAAAACAAGAGGTAGGCTGAGCCCCAAGGAAGCCAAAACAATCTACTGACAAAACCGCCAGTATAAAAAACACAACCCTAAACCCCTAAACGCTTGAAGGAACCCTTCAACCTTGGAGGAACTCCTTCAAGGAACCCGAGTCCCTTGTCCCTTGACCCTTTAGGTACTGTACCCTAAACCCCTAAACACTAAGCCCCTAAACCCCTAACCTAGCCCCTAAAACCCCTAAACCCTAAACCCCTAACTCCTAAACGCCTAATCCCTAAACCCCAGACCGTGTAAGCCCTGCGTCCCGACTCCTCTGTCAAAGGCAACGGCGCAATGAAGCCGTCCCGCAGGGCATGGCCTTTGCACGGGTAAGGGTCTAGGGCCCTCAGGGCTTAAGGTCTAAGGGTTAGGGTTTACGATTCCGGAATATTGGGTTTTTGTAGGATCTTTATGAGGGTTGCTACAACGGGTTAGGAGTTAGGGTTTCATCTTTTTTCTAATGTTTAGGGCTTGGGGGTTAGGGCTTAGGGATTTATAGGGTTTAGGGTTCAGGAATATTGGGTTTGTAGGGTTAGGGTTGTAAGAGGTCGTTATGGGTTTGCTATGAAGTGTTGCAGGGTGTTGGTATAGGTGCTTAAGAATTGGATGTTGGGTAGCTTGCTAATTCAGATGACGATAGAAGGACTAGAAGGATAGGATAGGGGCCTTAATAATCAGAGTAGGACTTTGGGGCCCATTATACTATATTCATCATAGAGACCCCCAAAAAAAGTATATGTAATCATTAAGGCCCCGATAGTACGGAGACACCACTCCATATGAGTATTTAGATCTATATTCGTACTATTTGTAAGGGTCAACAAAACGGGTCCTTTAAACTCTTTAGAGGGCTCTTGAGGGGTTTCGAGGGAATGTAAAACCAAGATCCCGAACATATCTCAAAAGGAGCTTCGAACCCACAAAGGGTTCCGAATCGATCCTGAAGCGAGCATCATGGGGTTTCCCTAAGCCCTAAACCCTAATTGATGTGCTTGCTGATTTCCTTGATCTATCTTGATCTCCTTGAGCGACAAGGTCGACGGAGGCCTTCGTTCTCTGCTTGTCTCCCGCCGCGGCAAGAGTCTTCTCGGATGATCTGATGAGTTTAGTGGAGTACTTTAGAAGGGGCCCACACCCTGTAATCGTGGTATAATAGGAATATAATAGGTCCCTAATATGATCCTTATAGTCACTATTACAGGGTGGGGGCAGCTTCTAAGGAGTACTGCACGACAAGCATCCTATCCAAGGGTAAAAAGGAGGGACCCTTCATAAGGACCCCTAGGTATATACCCTTAATATAGCTAGTATATACCCATTATATAGCCCATTATAGGGACCAGGGGTCCCCAGTAAGGGTCGCTCCTTTTCCCCTTTGATCCTAGCTCTGCAAAGGCCAGAGGAGTTCGCCTTGTCTCTCGCCTTGAAAGAGGCCGGAGCTGTACCGGAGACGAGTAACCCTAAACCCCAAACCTAAACCCCAAACCCTAAACCCAAAACCTAAACCCTAAACCCAAAACCCTAAACCCCTAAACCCTACACGCTAAACCAAAACCCTAAGCCTAAACCCTAGTCGGCTCCTGCAGCATGAAGTCGCGTGCAAAGGCCAGACGTCTTCTCGCTCTCCACACAGGCCTGCTGCTCGGCAGCGCTGAGCCTCTTGCGACTGGCCGTTCCGGAACCTCTATGTACAAGGGTCCCCAGTAATGACATGGCATTTGGTACGACCTCAGAGCTATACTGTCGGGCTCTTCATTCATGTTACATGTTGCAACGCGGCCCGTCGGAATCGATCCCCTAAACCCTAAACCCTTTCATGGGAACCCATGAAGGGAGCCTTACTGACTCAGAACTCGGAGGTTGAGGAACGTCACTTAGGACGGACGGGCGTCGAAGCCCTAAAATGTCCCACTTGGGGTTGAGGGTTCCTTTAAGGGTTACTACAAAGCTTAAGGGTTCCTTGTAGGGTTCTAAAACGGGGTTGAGCGAGCATGTCCCAAGGTTTAAGATATGAGTTTAGGGCTGAGGGCTGAGGGTGTAAAGCAGTAAAAAGAATCTGAAGACTCCCAAAAGCTCCGGGTTCCTAGGGCTTGCGGGGGGGCGTAAGGCAAAAGCCGTTTGAGGTTGTTAAAAGCCGTTTGAGGTTTGAGGTTGTTTGGGACTGTTTTGGGCTTTCTGGTTTCGGCTGAAGTTTTAAGAAACCGCTCCGCTCCAAAAGCGAATTGCCTTTACCTTAAGAGCACGAGGGCCAGGCTGTTCCATCTCTCTGGTTTCCATCAGGCCCGGCCGGTAGAGAAGGGAGGTTTCGAGGTTGTAGGGTTTAGGGTTCAGGGCTACATTACTGGCAAACCAGAGAAAGGAAGCTTGTTTATAAAGGCTGTTGGTTCAACAGGGTTTAGGGTTCTGGGATTCAGGGGTTAGGGTTTGAGGGCTTAGGGTTCAGGGCTACGTTACTGGCAACCCGGCGCCAGGAACTGAGACCACCGCCCATCAAGCGCCCTAAGAAGCGGAACCTGAACGGAGCGGGTCAGCCAATGTGTGTGGGCAGTTAGGGGCTTGCAAGAAAGGGTTTAGGGGTTTCGGGTTTGGGGGTGCCTTTGTAGAACCCTTATCGTAACCTTTGATAGAACCCTTAAAGGGACCCGACACTCAATAAAGGTCTTCTTGTCGTACTCCATTAAAAACCAAACGTGCCAAGAGCCCCAGACCGCAATATGTAGGTAATCCCCGGCGTTAGGATCAGAGTTGAGGATTTAGACTTAGGCTTTACGATGTACCGTTTCGGGTTTACGGCTTTAGTGTCTAAAGCAAATTTCAATACCATTCCCCAAAACAGACCGATAAAGGGGCCTGAGTAGTTTCAACAGGGTTGGGGGTATTTTTGTACTATATATAGTTATGGCGAGACACCTTTGGGATTCTGTTGCAAGTTGCTCAGACCTCAATGCTATGTTGTGAGGAGCACCCTCGAACACATGTAACTTTAGACACTCATACCTGTGGTTTTGATCAGGACACACTGCTCAGCACTTCTACTATGTTTCAGGGATGTTCCTCTTAACGTACAGGATGTTGGGCTTAATGTCTGACAAACCCAAAACCCCCAAACGCTCAGACCCCTACGGCTTAACCCTAGGAGCCTGAAAGTCCCAAACCCGTAGGCACCGAAGCCCAAAACCCCACAAACACCGCAAACCACCTAAAATGCTCAGGGTTAGGCTTTAGGGTACCTTTCAACATCCCCAAATCCTCCGCTCCTCGCACCCGCCGGCAACAACAACAAAGCTCTGCAATCCGGAACCTCTGATACAGATGTCTGAATAATCATTAACTAAACACATCCCCTGCAGGTCCTTACACGTTTATGCTATACTACTCCCCAAGACGTCATTCTGATTGTTGCGGCTTTATGTTAAACCAACTTTTGATGCCCTTCTGAACGAACCCCTTAACGTGATAAAATCCAAAACCCGGACAACAAAACTCATTACGGTAGACCATCTACATGAGGTAGGAATGCTATGATGACAAAACCCAGCATATTCCACACTCACCAATATTTGCAGGGGAGCCCGTATGCCCTCACCAGCATCGCTTAGTATGAGCCGGTAAACTTCATGTATTGAACCACTATAGAACCCTACGAAACCCCTATGAACACCTATAAACGCCCAGAAATGCCGAAACAACTTGCACAACCCCTTGAAGAAACCCTCAAAAGAACCCTCCTTAAACCCTGCACTCTGAAACCCTACCCCTGAACCCTCAACCCTACATAACTCGAAATCTTAGTCATCACCAACATTATTCCCTACGGTTCCTTCCTTCGTGCAGCTAGAGTTTAGTCAATACACCCCAAGACCCTACTCAAATTAACGAGGCTCCTGACATGAACCCTAAGCCCTAAACCCATAAACTCGAGGCCCTAAACCCCCAACCCCTAAACCCCTAAATCCCTAAACTCCTAAGTCCCTAAACCCCTACATCCCTAAACCCCTAAACCCCAAACCCGAGACCTCCCCTAAAATGAAACCCTCTGTGCCTCTAAAGGGACCATTAGAAAGACCCTAAAAGGGAGCCACTAAAAACCCTTCGAGGAACCCCTTACAGCCTCAGGGTCCATGTAATGGGGGCTTAGGGCCTAGACCCTCAACCGGTATCGATCCCTGTGAGGAACCCTTCCAGGAACGCTTGAAGGAAACCCTCCCCGCGCCTCCGGCAAGCTATGTATTCCTTAGAGTTACCATGACCGGGATCTATCGTGAATACTAGGGCTCCTCATTAGGATGTCTTGAATTATATTCAGGAGCCCTTCACGGAACCCTTAAAAGGAACCCAATCCTTGGAGTGTTACAATACCCGTAAAGGAAGCCCCTCGCGCCAACCCTAAAGCCTAAATCCTACACCCTTAACCCTAAACCCTAAGCCCTTAACTGCCCTGAACCCTAAAACCTAAACCCTAAGCCCCAGCCCTCCATGCCTCTGGCAGGCTGCGTCCCTGACCGCACCCTCGGGCAGCGGTCGGATGAGGAGTCCGCGACGGCCTGGGCTTTGTAGGGTTCAGGGCTTAGGGGTTTAGGGTTTAGGGGTTTAGGGTTTAGGGGTTTAGGGTCTAGGGGTTTAGGGTTTACGGTTGACGGTTCAGGGCTTACAGAAATGATTTTGGGCCCGAGGATCATCCCTCACAAAGTTTTCCGGTGATTTAGGGGGTTTAGGCTTTAGGTTTAGGATTTTTTGGGCTTAGGCTTGGGGCTGAACCAAAAGCCTCAAATGCAAACACGTTCCAAACCCTCGGCCCTTCAAAGTATCTTCATCCACTTCAACACGCCCAACATCCTAGACTTGGCCGACTTCTGAAACCCCTCCTAAAAGTCAAACTGTTAGTCTCCTTCTAATAGTTCATATAGAAACCCTAAAAAGTTAAAGTCCTAAGAGCCAACCCGAAGAACGCCAAGTCGATCGCTCAACCCCCCACTCTACGCCGAACCTTCCCTTCACACACAAATGCTAAACGCCAAAATCCCAAATCTCAGAACTCTCAACTCCTTGAAGCAGAAGGGTTCGAAACATGTTCAATACAAGTTCATCTCAGGCTGTGGCTAAGGAGATAAGGCGTGCATGACGAGCCGTCATCCTGAAATCAACGCAGGCTTTATGGTCTACGGGTAGGGTCACAATTTGTCAACAGTAGCTAGCGCAGAGATATTTCGCATTGTGGTCATTCCAATTCCACAAAACCTGCCAAGACTTGTCCAACCAAACGGGACGAAGGTCACGATTCCGAAAAGCAGAATAGTTCTTCATCAATGTTGCGTCCCATAACTTCGCAAATCTGCTTGCCGTGTTCCACACAGCCGATGAAGTTGGCACGTGTTTCTGGTGACCCTAAACCCTAAACCCTAAACCCTAGCATCAGCCCCAAAGCTACTGCGACAGACACATGCGTCGCCTGCGCGCTCCAATAATACACCGTCCGTCCATCAGACTTCAGCATCTGTTGTGACTTGCTTGGACGATGGACATTCCCACGCTGTGGTTCCCACGCTTCGATCTCTGCCAGCTGAGAGGGAATGTATGTTGCAATCTCAGAAAAAGCTTTTCCCAGCACATGCGCCTTTGGCAAAGAGCAAGAAGGATTTATTCGAAACATGATTCCGTCGTAATCTGAAAACCTTTGAATTCCCCAGGCTCTACGAATCAACAACTGCTGCAACAACAACAACAACAAACCTCCTGAACCCCTAAACCTTAAAACCCTGAAGCCTTAAACCCTAAAACCCTACACTCTAAAGACCCTAAAACCCATAGATCCCTCATAGAACCCGAACTCATAGATCCCTTCTAGAACCCTTTAAGGAACCTAGTTGCATAAGCCCAAACCCAGAGAACCCAATAGCCCTGAACTAAGGAATACACCTTAAGATAATGAGGCCTTAATATTATGATTTAAGGTATATTCCTTAATTCAGGAGTATTGGGATCTGTGGGAAGGAACCCTTACAAAACCCCATAGATCCCTTATTATAGAAACCTTTATTGAATCCTTTAAGGAACCCTTACAAAACCCCATAGATCCCTTATTATAGAAACCGTTATTGAATCCTTTAAGGAACCCTTACAACATCACATAGATCCCTTTAAGGAACCCTTTAAGGAACCTAGTTGCATAAGCCCAAAGGAACCCTTTGAGACACCCCCTGAAGGATGAGCGACCCCTTGACCGGTGGTCTTCTGGAGCCTTTCCAAGCCAGTGGATCTGTTCCTTTAAAGGGTCGTGGGACTTGGTAACTAGGGTTATAATTAAGTTAACTATACTTATAAGATCTGTTCCTTTAAAGCGTAACATAAGGGTACAATAGAGGTTTTGGGGGTAGGGACTGTCTTTAGGGGTAGGGTTTGGGGGTTTTGGGGTTAGGGTCTAGGGTTTAGGGAGTGAGTGTAGGCATACCCCCCTTAGAACCATTATCAGAATAGTATGGTTAATATTCTCTTGGGTTTTATATGAACAAAAATAAAAACATAATTCCTAAGGAAACTATAGTGAAAGGGTACTATGAGGGGACTTAAGGGGCTTTAGGGGTTAGGGCTTCAGGGGTTTAGGGTTTAGGGTTTGGGGGTTTGGGGGGGTTAGGGTTTAGGGGTTTAGGGAGTGAGCTTAGCTTAGTACCCCAATAAGCCACGGAATTGAAAGGCTAAACTTTTCGGTTCCTACTAAACTGCAAGAGCCCAAAAAGTCTAAAGGTTGGCTATGGGAGAACTGAATCCCTTTATGGGGCCTTTCATAAGGGCACTAAAACTTTAGAGGTTGGGTATTGGGGATCTAAGTTCGAGCTAGGAATGCATAGCAGCACAAGGCAACAAGGCGATGCACTGCATGTGTTGCACCTGGGTTTGGGTTTAGGGTTTAGGGTTTACGGTTTAGGGTTTAGGGGTTTAGGGTTTAGGGGTTTAGGGTTTAGGGGTTTAGGGTTTAGGGGTTTAGGGGTTTAGGGGTTTAGGGTTTAGGGTTTAGGCAAAGGCACAAGCTCGACTCGCAGGGCGAGCAAAGCCTGAAGCGGCGCAAGCCGCCGTTCAACATAGGAGAATACCAACAACGATGAACTCCTAAAACCGTCTTCTCTATATTCCAAAATGTTCACAAACCTTATATACTCAACCACAGCACCTCTTTAAAGCCTTTACTAAATTACAACCTAAACCCTAAGCCCTAGAACCCCCAAACCCTAAACCGCGCCTTATGCGACCTGAGGCCCTAAGAAGCCGTTACATTTTGCTCCCCGGCAACTGTCCGAAACGGGGCTAGGGTCTTCGGGCTCAGGATTTCGGGTTTAGGATTAAGACTCTAAGTTAGGCGCCCCAAACCCTGAACCCCGGAACCCCTAACCCCGAAGAAACCCTAAACTCCTCCACCCTTTCAACAGGGTTTAGGATGAAGATTCTAGGCTAGGGCCCTAAACCCCCAAACCCCAAACCGTAAACCCCGAACCCCAAACCCATAAACCCTAAACCCTAAACCCCTAAAGGGTTTAGGGTTTCTAAACCCTCAATCCCTACCCGAAGATCTCCTCCACCCAGAGAGGAAGCTGGCGATTCATTTCTCGATCTTGCAAGGCCATGCTTACCTGCTCCCCAGGCTCTTCGGGAGGATCATGGGACTTATAGTAGGGTTCCTTCAAGGGCTCCTTTAAGGGATCCTTTAATGTTTAGGGTTTAGGGTTTGGGGGTTTGGGGTCTAGGGGGTTTAGGGTTTGAGGGTTTAGGGTTTAGGGATCTATAAGGGAAGGTAGATCGATTAAGGGATCTATTTTTTGGATCCTCCAGGGGGTCTGGCGCAAGGCAAAGGTAGGGGCCTTCCAAACGAGAATAGGCTCCTTTGATTTAAGGGTTAAGGCTAAGGTTTAGGTTAACACCTTTCTTAAACAACCGGGCCCCCAAAAGTTCAAACTTTCTAAGATAGACCTAATACAGAAGGCCAAAAAGTTGAAAGTTCGGTATCTAGGTTAAGGGTTCCCGCCCTGGGGTTTGCTGACACCAGAACCCAGATCCCTTGGCGATCGACATGCACCATAGGGTAAGTGCCTTGATTCACACTTCGACTCGGTGTTACGGTCTTAGGGTTCAGGGTTTAGGTCGTTGGCTTCGGTTACAAGGTCTGGGATGATGCTGCAGGATAGTGTACCCTACTGGCCTACTTTTCTAAGAAGGACCTAAGGAACAGTTGTAGTATTTTTTCATTCTTCTTTGTTACATGAACATATGTTTCGCCGAACAGCGGGTGATGATAGTGTTACCTCTGCTATGGGTGTTTCCTTACACCCCGTATCTCAGACTATACTAGACAGCCTGAACCCCTCTGACTATGGTTAGGGTTTAGAGTCTTGGGTTTCAAGGGCTTTAAACTGCAAACCTGAATACACATGTTTGTAACTATCTAAACCCCGATGTTGGCTCGCGCTCAAACCTGGATTCTTCAAATCCAACATCCTTCGCCCAAAAACGCCACGGAAGAACGGTTTAGGGTCTAGGGTTTAGGGAAACCCCAAACCCTAAACCCTAAACCGTAAACATGAGAAACCCATGTTCGAGGGGAGTTCACTCCCAGACCCTTGCGCTTATGCCGTGCTCAGTCTGGGCCCCGAATACGCCAAAATGTTAGGGTTTAGGGTTTAGGGTTTAGGGTTTACAAAGCAGCATAGAACCTTTGGGCACCCTGCAATAACACCCCTGTAGAACCGGTGTAGAGCCCTTTACGAAAATGGGAGTTTCCGATAATTTCGGGGTACCTTATTTCGGGGTCCTTATAATAAGGATCCTACTATTCAGGGTACTATATTAGGGTCCCCTGTTTCCGGAAACTCACACTTAGGACCAAGTCAGTAACTAGGGTTATTATTGGGGATAACTATACTTATAATTACTTATAGCCCCAATTAAGGGACTTATAAATGTAGTTACTAAGTCCCGTGATCCTCCCTTGGCCGACTTCTGAACCCCTCCTAAAAGTTAAACTTTTAGCCTCCTTATTATAGTTCATATAGAAACCCAAAAAGTTAAAGTCTATAGAGCCAACCAGAAGAACGCCAAGTCTATATTACCCTAGACCCTGACCCTAAACCCTATAGATCCTTTAAGGAACCCTATAGATCCCTTTAAGGAACCCTATAGATCCCTTTAAGGAGCCCTTTAAAGCTACTAAGGACGAAAATTGACCCACTTGGAAGCGATGGGTTGATATTCGCGCACGCCTCGACGTAGAAAGACTGTGTGACCGCGCTGCCAAAACCGGTCTCTCCATCGAATTGCACCTTCCAGGTGGGTGGTTGTCAAAATTAGGGTCCCGTTTTGGGTTCCTAATTTAGTACGGTACATGATATTTAGGGTACCCAAAAGGGGACCCTAATTTTGACAACTACCCAGGTAGGTTTTGTGGAGTTGGGGAAGGATTTGGCGAGGTTTGGCGAGGTTTTTCCAGAATATCAAGGGTTGCGACACTTTTGTTCTTTCGAAGGTGTCTCCGGGGCGGTAAACCCTAAACCCTAAACCCTAAACATCCACTTTTGGAGGATTAATGTAGGAGTTTCGTCTTCAACCCTGGGAACCTGAAGCGTCCCAAACTCTGATGCCCAAGGTTCGGCAACCCCTCATGGTGGGTAATATAGGGGCCTTAATAATCAGAACAGGGTTTAAGGTTTAGGGTTTAGGGTTTAGGGTTTAAGGTTTAGGGTTTAGGGTTTAGGGTTTTCGGGAGCCATTATACGATAAATATAATAAGGAACCCCCAAAATAGTATAGGTAGTTATTAAGAACCATATATTAGCCTACTTGGAGGTTCAGGGGACTTAGTATGTAGGGTTATAAAAAAAAGGTATCTGTTAGAAGGGGCCCCCGCACTGTAATAGCGACTATAAGAATTATATTGGGGCCCTATTATATTCCCTTACAGGGTGGGGGCCCCTTCTAAGGTATCACTACTAAGCTATCACCCCGACTTACTAAGTTCCCTGATCCTTCAAGTAAACCTCAGCAAGAACAGCACCAGCCATAATAATGCCTCTGGTGATGTTCGACAACAGGAGAAAACTCTAAAACGCAGAAGAAGCGCAACGCTCAAAAACGATCCTACGAGTAGTCCAAATAAAGTAGCAATACAAACGCCGACATGAAAAGCACCACTATTACAAGAATACACATCCTGCACAGCCCTAAACCTCCAGACAAAGAGAGCGATGCTAGAAACCATACAAACCCTGCGAAACCCTGATACCAAAAAACTATAAAGAGAGCCTCAGCGGAAACCACAGAGAGATGCGGAGTTAAAGACAGAGAAAACACTAAGCCATAGACCCGAAAGCCTCTCAACCCTGAAGCTATAAACCCTAAACCCGAACTGTAAACCCTCGAAGCCCAAAGCCCAGACCCACAAGCCTATAAACCCTAACCCTAAAACTATGAACCCGAAACCCTAACTAAACCCTAAACCCTAAAGCCCCTAAACCTTAATAGATCCCTTCAAAATGAACCCCTATAGATCCCTCTACTTGGACCGTCGGGGGACTTAGTAACTGGTTATATATAGACTTATAAGTACCATAACCCCAATTAAGGTCCATTTTAGGGTACTTATAAGTCTGCTTACTACCTACTTACTGAGTCCCCGACCCTCCAAGTAAAGAAACCTTGAACCCCAAGCCCTTAAAGGAGAAGGGCGCCTCAAGCATGTGGCCGGAGCCTGAAAGCAGGTCCATGGCGACCTCGGCTTGCCTTCAAGGAACGCGCTGTAGGGTTTCGGGTTCTTAGGGTTTAGGGTTTAGAGGTTTAGGGTCTAGGAGTTTAGGGGGTTGAGTGTTTAGTGTTTAGGGCTTAGGGTTTAGAGGTTTAGAGGTTTAGGGTTTAGGGGTTTATAGGGGATTCAGGGGGTTTAGGGTTTCGGGTCTTAGTGTGTCGGGTTGTCGTGTTCAGGTTTGAGTGTTCAGAGTTGCAGGTTTTAGAGTTTCAAATTTCTTAACCGTGTGTTTAGTTTTGAGTGCGTAGGGTTTCGGGTTTTTGGGGTTGCGGGTTGTAGTGTTTGGGGCTTAGGCTTTTAAGTGTGCTGGGTTCCGGGTTTTAGTACCCAGAGACTCCAATATCCCTTAATTAAGGAATATTCCTTAAATCATACTAGGGATCCTACCATAATTTATCGTATATTCCTTAATGAAGGGATATTGGAGTCTCTGGGTACTTAGGGTTTCGGGCTTCAGTGTTAAGGGTTTAGGCTTTAGGGTGTAGTGCTTAATTTCCCGGGTTTTAGGGCTTCAGGTTTTAGTGTTTAGGGTTGAAGGCTTAATGTTTGCTTAGGGTTTCAGGGTTTCGCCTTTCGGGCTAAGGCAGGGTCGAGCTCGGATGGCTACTACGGTTGTCTGGCAGGGCCTGGATCACACTGAAAGAGCTACATTGCTAGCCTTGGCTATCACGGTGTGGGACTTTCCTCTAGGGTGAGCTCTTTTGCCTCCGCAAGGATCTTCGCACACCAAGCATCGATCTCCGGAGGGGTGTTGCGCACAGTGGGGTCGCCAAATTGGGTCGCCAACTCTGGAGAAAGCAGCAATGCGCGCCCAGATCCTGACATTGCAAGCCGAGCCACCCTTCCCCTGCACGTCTCCCTGGCGTCAGCATCAAGGAGCGGAACGGACTCTCCCTGTCTCGCTAAGAGGATGCCAGACACAAGGCGGACCTTGTATCCCATCTCGATCAGGGGGTGGTCCTCCCAGGCGAAGCGGTCGTCTGCGTCTTGATCTTCGATCTCAACAAACAGCTTGGAGGTGGTCACCTTGCCAAGCATGAGCGAGCTGGAAGCTAAGAGGCGCTTAGAGGTAATCTGGTGCAGCATCCTTTTGGCATCGGGGGGGCGGTAGATGAGCTCTTTAAACTGTAGGCCCAGTCAAATGCTGTTGCCACTTTTCCCCTGATGGGAGTGAAGGCCCTCATGTACTCCTCGGCCAGTATGATGGCCGCCTGAGCACCGTCTAACATGTTCAGGCCCAAAGGGACACGAGTAAGGCTCTTCGTCCCAGGAGGATGGGTGAACCATGACCTAAGAGTGTCGCGGCCCCTGTGGGATCTGCTGGGTGCAGCTTTGACCACCCTACCTCCTGCGAAGGTGGTCGTGGTAGCTGCATTGGGGAAGGAGATCTCCTCATAGGGGACTGCCAATAACCTAGAAATGAAACGGGCCCCCTTCTTGGTGTTGGACAAGGCACCTTAAGCCTCTGTCTTTTCTAGGATGCCCATTAACTGCCCGTAACCTAGAAAAAAAGGGCCCCCTTTTTGGTGTTGGATTACTTTATAAGGAACTTAGGACTACGAAATAAGAATAAGGGTACTACTGGGCATGCTAGTTTTGGTGTAAAACTAGCACGTAGTCTCGACAACGGATCTGAGGTTACTTGAAGCCGAGACCCCAAACCCTAAAACACCCCCAGCTCTAAGCCCTACAAACCACACGGTTTAGGGTTTAGGGCTTAGGGTTCCAAAAGCCTCGAATCCCTAAACCTTAAGCAAGAGGTCACCCATTCTTCTATCAATACTGGGGCCTCAATCATTAGCACAGGGTTCCTCAAAGGGAGCTTTTTGAAGGGGTTGTAAGGGTCATCTCTAATAGGGTGTATCGGGGCCTTGATAATTACCTATAAGGGAGTTTCCGAAAATTAGGGGTACCTTCTTTTGGGGTCCTTATAATCAGGATCCTACTAATTAGGGTACTATATTAGGGTCCCCTGTTTCCGGAAACCCCTATAAGCCCTATAAAGCCCCGTGGCCTGAGTAGTAGGTCACCTTTGCTGACCTTCACAAGTGTGCTTTGCAACCTCGGCGGATTTTAGGGTTTAAGGGTTTAGGGTTCAGGGTTTAGGGTACCTCGGCGGATCTGACAGCTCGTACTTGGAGGTTCAGGGGGCTTAGTAATCAGGGTTTTAGGCAAGGTAGCTATAGTTCTATGTACTTGAATATAACCCTAAGTAAAGTACTTTTTACCCCATCGATTAAATCCAAGTAGCAGAGCCTTCAGGATGTGGAATTCAAGTTTCGGGTTCAGGGTGTGGGGTATACGGTTTAGGGTTTAGCGGTTTGTTTAAGGAATTGATAGGAGGTTTCGGGTTTGGTGTTTGAGTTTTCCAGCGTTGCGCCCAGGAATTTGGAAGCTGAGAACCCGAGGACCAAATGACACTTAAATGATGGGAGGCCAACAGGGGGGTTTAAGATTCTTGGGGTAGGGATTCCTTAATATGAACCCTATTATGGGAACCCTAATCCCTACCAAACCCCCATTGGCTCAAACCCCTTTTGGCCTCCTATGATTAGCAAGGGCAAGGCGGTCCTTATACCGTGAAACCCGAAACGGGTACTTTTCTAAATTACCCAGAGACTCCAATATCCCTTAATTAAGGAATATTCCTTAAATCATATTATGGATCCTACTATAATTTAAGAAATATTCCCTGATTAAGGGATATTGGAGTCTCTGGGAACGGTACTTCTCTAAATTAGGGTCCTTGACAACCCAAAATAAGGCGGCACCTTGGCAACAAGAACCCTGAAAAGGGCCCTAATCTAAGGAACTGGTCATAGGACACGAAGTTTCAACCCTAAATCTTAAACCCTAAGCCCAAGGGACCCTAATTTAAAAAACTGCCCATATAAGATGAAGTCTCAACCCTAAATCTTAAACCCTAAACCCAAGGGACCCTATTTTGGAGAACTGCCCATATCTCAACCCTAAATCTTGAACCCTAAACCCAGGGGACCCCCTAATTTAGAGAACAGTCCGAGAAGAAGATGGAACCTAACCTTGGCTGGCTTCTGAACCCCTCCTAAAAGTTAAACTTTTAGTCGCCTTATTATAGTTCCTGTAGAAGCCCCAAACAGTTAGTGTCGTAAGAGTCAACCAGAAGAACGCCAAGTAAAGCGCGCATTTTGTGCTCAAAAACCCGGAGCCTCCATCAAAGTAGGGTTGAACCCTCAACCCGGGCGGACTCGACTTACAGTGAACCCAACAAAGTCAAAACATGAATTAAGGATGACTAGAGCAGGGATGCCATCCTACCATAATCCAAGGTATATAGCTCAATCAAGGGATATTGGAGTCTCTGGGCAGCATGGTGTGGCACGCCCGTTTGCTCCTCATGATGACTTTGAGCTGTAAAGTTTAGGCCTTGCTGACTATGGGTCTCCGAATCCCGTGCGCAGCCCATTTGTAAACCCCGTTGAGGGCCGGACGTGCCCAGCCAATTACTGGACCTGCTGCTGCGGATGCATTAAACATGCTTTGGTTTCGGGCTCGTAATATGGCTTCCTGCAGCCGTAAAATCCTGAACCCGTGAGTTCGTGAAACCTTATGAGGCTTTATATAATCGTAAGGCTTCCGGGGTTCGAATAGGTGTTTGTAGGTCGGGGTTCTGCAGCAGGGTTCATAACAGGGCTTTCCGGACCTTTAGAGTTCTTAAGGCCTTGTATGGCTTAAAGGATTTGGCTGTTGAGGGCTCTTGACAGGATCTGATACACTCGCTCCTGATGTGCTAAGTTGCTATACGGCGTGGTGGGTGCCACGGTTCAGGTCTACAAGCCAGAAAATCGATTCTGGGAGTTCGGGCTTGGGTTTCTTGACTGCAGCTGCATGGGGGCACTTGGAAACTAGTCCATGGTTGGGATGGGATTAAAACTATATATTTTATTCCTTATTGGGTTTAAGTACCCATAAAAATGTAAAATGTTACACAACTATGACAAAGGAAAGTAAGGGAAACGAATCGAACAACCCTATAAAAAGAATCCATAACCTAACACAACACAAGCATCAGCTCACGCACACGCATAGAAGCGTGCCCAAGAAGCTGCATAGTATAGATCGAGTCAATGCCTAATGGTCTAGGCCCTGACTATCGCATTTTCTGATTCGGCGTCAGGACTTTTTGTCGCATGCAGGGTCCGGGGCATATTGTAGCGGCCTTAATAATCAGAATAAGGGTTTTGGGGGTTCCTTAATAAAATAAGTGTAATATACCCCATTTCTAATTCTACTAGGATACCCAGTAACCTAAGAACAAAAAGGCCTCTCCTTTTGGTATTAGGTAACTTTATAAGGAACCTAGGACTACAAAAAAGGGAATAAGGGTACTACTGGGCATCCTAGAATTCCAAGACCCCTATATTAGAGAGGAAGCCCTGCACTGATCCCTCAAGCACCCTCTACCGTGTTGAGTTGGGAGTGGGGGCTGCTGGTGACCACCAGAGGCATCTATAAAGATCTCGAAGTTTCCGAAAATTAGGGATAGCTTATCTTGGGGTCCTTATAACAAGGATCCTACTATTTAGGGTAAGACATGAGGGTCCTCTATTTTTCGGAAACTCCCATATGGCTTCCTGATGAGGCTGACCTGAATTAAATTTCCTTAGCAAGACTATACCCCCCTTAGAGCCATATTAAAAATACTATGTTTGTTATTCTCTTTGGTTTTATATGAACAAAAGATAATTCCTAAGGAGACTCAAGAAGAATCCAGGGTGAAGTCGATAACTCGATCATTGTCTTTGCAAGGGTGTGCAGTATGCCACCTGCAACCGGTTGAGGTGTCCAGGGTTTAGGCTTCAGGGTTTAGGGTTCAGGAAACCCTGGGAAATGGAAGGTTGTGACATTTGTGACCGCAAGTTTGGTGCATAACGCTTGAGCCAGTCGGCAATTGGAGCTACGAGCAGGGCCGTAATGGTTCGAAAGAAGCTTCAAAGGCAAGCCACAATCACAATAAGAAGCAATACACGAAGCGTAGCATAAGTACTAATTGCCTAGGGCTCTATATCACCTAGATTTCTGAGTAGCCCCTTTATTGTAAGGGTACCCTTGTTCCTACAGCGCTGATAAGGGAACCCGAAAAGAAAAAGTGCAAAAGGGTACTACTGGGGACCCGAATTGTTATATCACAGGTATAGGAACCCAAAAAAGCACATAAGCATAAGCATGTTATGGGGATATCCCTACCTTATTGGGCTTCATTATAAGGGGTTGTTCTGGGATATCCCTAACCTTATTTTTCCTTATGTGCTTTTTCGGGGCCTTAAAATAATTACCAATACTATTTTGGTGGTTCCTGTTTGTAATTATAGTATAGTGGGCACCAAAAGCCTATTTTAATTCTAGTCATTAAGGCCCCTATCAGCCTGTGTGCTTTTCGGGGGCCAAAAGGTAAGCCACCGGCCTCACGACATGCTCTTCCAAATTCGAGAGTTCTTGTGACAACTCCTCGCCAGGAGCGGAGGGCAAGCCTGAAACTCCTAAACCCTAAAACCCCTAAACGCCTAGACCCCTAAACCCCATAAACCCCTAAACCCTAAATCAGTAAACCCTATGTAGGCCTTTCACGCACCCCCCCAACTACCCTTTCTACATCCTGAATACCCACTATTGAAGATCATAAGGTCTCCATTAAAGGGTACTTGGGGGGTTCTGGATAAAGCAGCTCCCCAAAAATTCACCAACGTCACAACCCCATAAACCCCTAAACCCCGAAACCCAAGACCCTTCAACAGCTCCTGGATCCTTCTTTTCTAAATCCTAAACCCAAAACCCTTAAAGCAGCTCCTGGATCCTTCTTTTCTAAGCCCCTAAGCCCTGAGAGCAACTCCTGGATCCCTCTTCTCTAAACCCCTAAAGCCCTAAACCCCTAAACCCTAAAACCCCTAAGCCCTTAAAGCAGCTCCTGGATCTTTCTGGGATCCGCTTGTGAGTTGAGTTCTGTCTGCACCGTGGCCCTTCGCTGCATGAGCGAGCCCACCTGCGACGGTTTAGGGTTTAGGGGTTTAGGGTTTAGGGTTTAGGGGCTTTCCGCGGTAGACGATGTAATGTAGGGTCCCTTTAAGGGTTCCTTTAGGGCTCTCTAAGGGTTTAGGGTTTACGGCTTTAGGGTTTAGGCGATTAGGGTTTTAGGGTAGGGGTTTAGGGTTTGGGGGTTCAGGGTTTAGTTTTGAGTTCGGGATTTAGGGTTTGAGTTTGGTCTGTCGGTTCCACTTGGACTGGGCGCTTTTCGGTCCGGACATGTCCGGACCGACCGACCCACAAGCCCCAAGCCCAAGACTCTCCCCGTCAAGTTTATTTAAGGTTTAGGGTTTAGGGTTTAGGGTCCCTGTCAACGCCACTGAAACCCCCAAACCCGAAAACTCCACAACCTGAAACTCTCAACCCTAAACCCTAAGCCCTAAATCCCAATTCCCTAAAGCCGCAAACCCCGAACCCTATCCCAAACCCCAAATCCCAAACCCAAAACCCCAAACTCTACGCCCTAAAGATCTGAACCCCAAACCCAGAACCCTGAACCTCTACTTGGAGGGTCGGGGGACTTAGCAACTGGTTATTTTATAGACTTATAAGTACCAGGACCCCAATTAGGGTCCCTCGTAGGGTACTTATAAGTCTACTTACTACCTACTTACTAAGTCCCCCGACCCTCAACGTATAAAACCCTTAGCTGCACCCTGAACCCCAAACCGCTGCCCGAGAGGCCTTGTGCTCCTGCACCCAGTGGATAGCAAAAGAAGGGCCGAAGGCTGTGTACTTCAGCCTGGGGAAGTAGGCTTAGGGTTTCTTGGCCGACTTCTGAACCCCTTCAAAAAGCTAAACTTTTAGCCTACTTATTATACTTCATATAGACACCCAAAAAGTTAAAGTCCTAAGAGTCGACCAGAAGAACGCCAAGGTTTGGGGTTGAGGGTTTGGGTTTAGGGATTTCAGGTTTAGGGTTTGAGGCCTGGGGTTTAGGGTTTAGGGGTTTCCCACGTTCTTCTCATTACTACAAATCCGAAAACCGGGCACGTAAACCCTTACTAAAGCCTAAACCCCGAGCCCTAAACCCTAAAGCAACGCCAAACCCTCAAGAAACAGCCTCAGAGAAGGACTCCCCCGACCTCTAAGAAGTTCCATAAGATGGTCATCTTGAAAAAATGCCCCCAAATATACGTAGTTAAGCGTTCTTTCAAGTGTTCCTGGACGGTTCTATAACAAGGGTATTATCTTATCAGGGTTTGCAAGACCATCGAAATTCCTGGCTAGGTTCCTGAGTAGCCCCTTTGTAATAAGGGTACCCTTTTTCCTTAAAATCTGTTGTAATATAGGAGAACTACTCAGGAAGCGCACAAGATCCTCAGTAAGCTTTCCGCAGTGAAGCTTGTCTAAGCAGGGGTTTTGGGGTTCCCTCGGCTCTTTAGCTCCTTATTACTAGGGATTATCATCATCCCTGGCTCCTTAGCTCCTCCGATATCACTGGTTAGTTGTCCTTTGATTTTGCCAGGTATTGCTTGAGCGCGGCATTTGCAAGTTGTTCACAGCCGTACTGAGGTTGCGCTGAGGGTGAGAAATGCAACCGGCAGCGCACTAGCAGGACAATCCTGGCCCACACCGGCGTGCCAGATATGAAAAAGATCTGCTCCGAAGAATGATGCAGGCGTATCGGCTGTATCCTACAACAGGTGCTGCATCAGTGCACCTCCGCCATCATCCCATGGCAGCGGATTGCTCCCACTATACCATACTTATAATAAGGAACCCCCCAAGATAGTGTAGGTAATTATTAACGCCCTTTCATTACTCAGAACCTGCTGAGCCTCTTCTGAAAGGCAGAGACTGATATAAGGCCTTTGTGTTGGTGCTTCCATATTAGCCAATATCCTGGTGGGAGACCTTCTCTAAACCCCAAACCCCTAAACCCTACCCCCTAAACCCTAACCCCAAACCCTTAAACCCTAAACCCCTAAACCCTAAACCGTAAACCCGTGAACCCCTAAACCCTAAACCCCTAAACCCTAAACTCTAAACCCATGAACTCCTAAACCCCTAAACCCTAAACCGGGGTCCGCCGCCATGGTTCTAAACCCCAAACCCGGCCCTAAACCTTACAAGGGCTCATTGCCTTAAAAGGATCCAAAAAGTAGATCCCTTAATGGGGCTTACTAAAAAATACCCTTAGTAGTATAGGGCCCCAAATTAGGGGATCTACTTTCTAGATCCTCCCGGGGGTCTGGGTTAAGAGCCTGACAGACCATCTACCTACTAGGCCCGAACCTCTTCACTTTGGCACCATAAGCCACCTTCCAGCAACAGTATCACACCATCAATCGTTTTCCGGTGTGTCAGAAAACCAGACCAAGGTACCTCTATGAAAATAGTCGGCAATAACCTATATTGGTAGGCCTACTTCTGTTGATAAAGAGGAGGGGGTTAGTTTAGGGTCTCCTCGGTTTCCGTAAGGGTTAGCCTAGGATTCAGGGTTCAAGGGTTTGGGGCTTAAGTGGGTTCAGGGCTTAAGGGCTTGAGGGTTGTGGCTTGGAGGGCTTATCTTGACTGACTTGTGAAACCACTCCTAAAACAAAAGTTAAACTTTCAGCCTAGTTCTTCTAGTTCACATTAGAAACCGCAAAGAGTTAAAGTCGCAAGAGCCAACCAGAAGAACGCCAAGATAAAGAAGGGGGATTGATTGATCAGGAAGATTATGTTCACAAGCCCTAAGTGATTAATTATGCTGCTGATCATGCAGACCCCTGAATCGAATCCTGAACTAAAACCCGCGATGACACACCTCATAATATACGGGCCGTAGTAATTAGAATAGGGCTTTGGGCCCATTATACTATACCTATAGCAAGGAACCGCCAAAATAGCATTGGTAAGTATTTAGGCCCCTATAGTACTTTCTGAGCGTGCGGCAACTTCTTTCGCGCGTCCAAGCTGAGCAAGAAGGGACAAAGTCGGGGCCTCGTCTCAGCCGCTTTAGAAGCTTTTGTCGGGATATTATAGGGGTCTCTTTAGGCACAATAGGAGTGTATGGCAAAGCAAATACATGATGACGCTGAAAACTATTACTAATCATACAGGCTTCTATTTGTGTTGCTTGGGGTGAATAACACCAAAACTCCAGAGACTAAACTGGAAGGCAAAACCCTTCAATATGCCAACGACAAGACTCGACGGTTGCAAACACGCAAAAAGCGGGCAAAGAAAAAGACGCAAGTCATGAAGAAGACAGGGTAACACAGCACAAACAACAACAATTGCCCCAATTCTCCAGACGTAAAGCTCCAAACCAATAATCGTAGCAACTATGGCAGCGCCAATAACGTTCATCCTCATAAAAGTCCCAGTGTGGCCATATACTAGAACCCACTACCGAACCCCAATCAAATCGTGGAACGCCCTCTCCGGAACCCGAAAATGACCTGCACAACCCTAAACCCTAAACTGCCCTCTGCCAAACCCTAGAGCCAACCCTGTAAAATCCTACAAAACTCCGTCGCAACCCCATGAGAACTCTAATGTAGGGGTCTTCATAATTGGAATACGGTTTTGGGGCATAGTATACCGTAACTATAAAATAAGGAACCACCAAAACCGTATAGGTCATGATTAAGGCCCCTTTGTTACGCCGTAGCAACCCCATAAGAACCCTGAACCCTAAACCCCAGACCCTCCTATGGCAAACAAAGCCGGGAGGCAGGGTCGTCGTCCAGGGCGGCAAAGTCGCAGCTGAGACACGGCGTTGAAGGTTTTTAGGTCTCGTGCTGGCTTTAGGATTTGGTGTTTAGGACTTGGGGTTTAAGAAGTTGTAGAGCACAGGCGTTTGGGGTTTAGGGGTTTTGGGGTGCAGGGGTTTAGGGTTTAGGATTTAGCGTTTAGAATTTGGGGTTTAAGAGCTTAAGGTTTAGGGTTTCGGGTTTAGGATGGTTTCGGCTTCACGATTCCTGGGCTTCTTGTTGGGTTTCTAGAGACCCCCAGGACCCTTTGATCATAAGGACCCTTAGGGGGGTAGGGGCCTTAATACCTATTATTAGCACTAAATAATAAAGCCGATTTAAGGAAGTATAGTCCCCTACCGACCCTTTACGTAAGGAGTTTACCTCAACCAACGCTTTAGTGCTGGAGAGGGCAACTTAAGGTGTTGTACTCAGTGTAACACTGCCGTTTGTGGCTTCGGAGGGTTTGGTATGGCCTCTGTGCTTGCGGCTTGTTACAAGACTGGCATGTGCTCAGCAGTTATCTGACTTCATGGCGCACTGGTGGTTTGTCGGAAACTGGTCGAGTAGTCTTAGGTTCAGCGACAAGGGTCAAAGGCAACCTTCTCAGCAACAAAGCCTTTCTCTCATGACATCCAAAAGCATAAAAGACGCCACAACCCGGAAACGGAAACACCTGCAAAAGTTACCGAGAGCCTTGTAGTTAGTTCACCCGAAGCCCAAAACCCTGGACCCTCAACTAAAGCTCGTCTGGGCAAGGCCTTAGAAACCATAACTTCTTGCTCCTTGTTATTGCAAACTAGCTCCGGCTACCATAGAATGGAGGTATGGTGAATAGTATGCATTCCCTAAACTGGAACCTGTATAAACCCTAAACCCCAGACCCTCGACCCTCTAAACCCTGGCCCTAGACCCTAAATCACTCTTAGGGCTCCATTTCTAGACCAGATTTCCACGAAATCGAAGCAAAAGCTTGACTCTTGTATTCTTCGTTCGTGCAACGTCCGCCATCACCACTGGAGCCATCGCAGACCTCTGCATGCGAAATCGGCACACCTATATACACTCCCGCTTCAAGGTCCACGACTGCGAGCGCCCGCCATTTCCATGCGGCCTCCCCCTGATGACCAGGCCGTAGTGGCCGTTCGGCACAGGTGGGACCTGTGTCCAAAGGCGCCATCGTCAGCTGCAATGAAATACATGACACAACAACCTCATATGCGTTCCAGCCGTCCTGCCAGGACGACTGCTTGTAGCCATCTACCCTTTCGAACGGGAAGTCGTTCGCGTCAAGCAATGCACCGGCGGGGCGCTAGCCGGAAGCAATTCTTGACCCGTGTGGTTGTCAAAATTAAGGTCCCTTTTTGGGTCCCTATGGTAATATGGCACCTATTACTTAGGGTACCCAAAAAAGAGACCGTAATTTTGACAACTACCCATTTGTAGGGTGTATAGGGTGAGTGCTAGACCGGCGCAGGGCTCCAAAACTCACCTAAAGAAGAAAAATCCAAGTAGGCCCCCTAGCAGCGGATTAAAGTCTAGGGTTTATAAGGTTTTAGGTTTTAGCGTTTAGGATTGAGTTTTTTATATGTTTCAAAGCGCCTCTTCAAGATTAGGGTTTAGGGTTTACTGTAGGATTTCTCCAAACGTCACAATACATAGAAGGATCCTGTAAACCCCGTGCGAAGCGTGATGGTAAGTTCAGAAAACCCTAAACCCAAAAGGTGTGCTACTATTATGCTGATGCGATTGTTTGAGTGCATGAATCTACTCCTGAACCCAGGAACCCTTCAGTTACGAAAAGCAGCCCTGTCCGATCCTATTTTGACGGAGGCTCCTCCTAGGAGGCAGAGGTTTCGGGAAGCACGATGAATACAGAACTCAAGGAAGCAATTTCTTAGGCAAAAGCAAGTGGGAACTTAACTCTAAGCCCTAGACCCCGAATCCAAAACCCCAAGCCGTTAACCCTATGTACTCTAAAACCCTGAACCCTTAACCTCCAAACTCGAAAATCCTGAAGCCCTAGTTTTCAGCCCCAGCTGAAGCTGGTAGAACTTGAAAGCCCTCTGAGACGTCGGCTGACGACACTGAGTGCATCTTCCAGCTGCACCTGAAAACTCAGAGTTATAGGTTTTGGGGAGGCACCTTGTCGATTTTGAATGGGTTTAGGGATGGTTTAAGGCTTGGGCTTTAGGGCTTTGGGGCTTGAATACCGTGCTTGGGGGGGTTACCATGGTATCATACTGCAAGTGCTGCGAGGACTGTAAAGAGTTTTGTTATAAAGTTTCCTACATGCAAGAGGGATTGATGGGGTGTTACACGGAGCTTCATGTGGGGCTTAGGACATACTTGAGGGTTCGGAGGTTCGGGGCTTACCCGGTGTAGGGCTTCCTGCTTTTCCCCTAAGCCTTAAACGGCAACGGTGTGTGGTTTCCTGTTCATTTGGAAGTGTCCGGAAAATAGCTCCTCCTTTAGTGGCTCTGTATAGTAGGATCCCCTATTATAAAGACCCCAAAACAAGGTAACCCTTGTTTAGGAAGGGTTTCGGGTTTAGGATTTAACTTGGCCGACCTCTGAACCCCTCCGAAAAGTTGAACTTTTAGTCTCCTTATTTCAGTTCGTATAGAAACCCAAAATGTTAAAGTCCTAAGAATCAACCAGAAGAAGGTTTAGAGTTGTTCTGGGAGTTGGGATTCTCAACACGCGGTCTCCAGGACCCGGACTCTACATGCATATATACTCTACCTCCAACAGATCTGCGATCACAAACAGGATCACATGGAAATCAACGAAAACCGAGACTCTATCCTGAGTCAAAAGTTGGGTCATATCACTCCAAACCCGAAGCCCAGAAACCCCAGCCCCAAACCCTGAAACCTCAAGCCTGGACTCCAACACCCTAATACTCTTAACAAAAGACTGTTCACCAGCCGAGAGCGATGGATGCCGCTGGCATGCGCGCGATGGCCGAACTTGCAGCTTCTCATGAACCCTACAGAATAGTATTGCTAATTATTCATCTGTAGTTGCGTCCGAAACCCCGGAGGCTCATCTACTACACTAGCAGGGTCTGAGGCTGAAATGCACGGGGTTCATACGATTGATGATATAAATCCTGCATTACCCACAATGAAGAATATACCATAATTCCCATAGTTTAGGGTCCTTAAGGTAATGCAGGATTTATAGCATCAGCCGTAGTGCAAAGGTATTACAGGCCCCCACTGTGCACCGAGTCCCGAAGGACAGGCCTGCCATTCATGATACTACTGACGGACAAAATCCTGCAGTACCCATTATAAGGAATATACCATCGTCCCCATAGTTTAGAGTCCTTAGGGTCATGCAGGATTTCGTCCATCAGCAGTAACACTCTAAAGGTTGCTCTTAGCCCTACAACCCGATCCTAAACCTCAAAAACACCGGCCTGAGATCCCGAACCCTCAACCCTGGACCCAAACCCTGCCTCAATCCCTAAACTCTAAACCCTAAACCCTCATCCCCTAAACCCTAAACTCAAACCCTAAAACCTGATCGTCACCTGCCTGGAGTTTCTTGTCGAGCTTCGTGGATGTCCATGGCCTCGACTGTAAAGTGAATCGAAGCCTACTTGGGTTTATGGTTTAGGGTTGAGAGAGACAACGTTTTTTCTGGTGAACTTCCAAGAATTTTTAAATGATTTCGAAGGGTAGTTTAGGGTGTGCTCGGGGGTTTAGGGTTTCTGAAAATCAGCGGTAGCGTGTGTATGTAGGGCTCCTGAAAACAAGGAGGAAGAAAAAGTATGTAGAGGCCAACAGTCAGTAAGAGGACCTACTAAGGGCCCGAGAACCGCGAAGAGCCTCCAGACAAGAAAACATCCAATATTTTAGCCGGGCCCCAACTTAAAGAACTACATGAGCAAGAGAGTGGGGTCAAAGTTGCCTCAGATCTAACTATGGCTCCCCTGCTGCAGAACCCATGTAACATACCTAAACCCTTAACCCTAAATAACATACTGGGCCTCCGGAGTCTTTTCACTACACCTTCACCTACGGATGCAGGGCAAAATTCGGCCGTTTCAAGCGACCTTTACAAGAAGTAGCCGACCTCAACAGACCTGAAAATCTGAAAAATAGTCATACTAAGCCCTGTGAATCCTAAACCCCAGAAAGCCAACAAGCACATATTGCATATTAATACAAGATCTGAGGAACGCATGATGAATATCACTTAGACTTAGAACACCACCTACAAAACGCGATCAAAGCCTATACGAACCCTGCAAAAAACATTATGGAGCGGAATCAAAACCCGATATAACACCCCAAGCCCTAAACCCGAAACTCCCTAACAGGAACCCTAAAGAAACCCCTGAACGAACCCTGAAAAGAACCGTCAACGGAGGGGGACCCTTATGCTTTTATATGGGTTGCCTTAACTTGCTACCCCAAATAAGCCACAGAAATAAAAGGTTAAACTTTCCGATTCCTACACTAAACCCTAAACCCTAAACCCCTAAACCCTAAACCAAAAAGTTTAAAGGTTGGGTATTGGAGAACGAAGTTTGAAGGAACTCTCTGCTCCCTTTTTGGGTCCTTATTATAATACGGCACCTAATATTTAGGGTACCCAAAATGGACCCTAATTTTGACAACCACCCATATGGGTTCCCTTAAAGGAACTCTCTGCTCTCCGCCAGCCCTGAGTAGCAGACAGCGACTCAGGCTCATGGTAGTGAGCCTGCCGGGCTGTCCGGGTTTTAGGTACTTCTTGAAGAGTTGTTGAAGGCTTTTAGTGCGTTTTTATGGTTTCTAGGGTTTGCTGATTTTTTAAGATCTGATTTATTTCTTTTTGTGGATTTTCGGGGTGTTAGGCTTTTTTAGCTTAGGGTGCAGGGTTTTACGGGGCTGAAGCCGGGGCTGGCTCATGATCATCCGTCGTGCTTCTGTTGTGTGGGTCTAGTGTGGGTCTAGGGCTCGTTAGGGCTTTAGGCTTTATGGTTTTTCAACTTGGGGTGTGTAGGATGCCCAGTAACCTAGGAATAAAAAGGGCTCCCCTTTCTGGCATTGGGTAACTTTATAAGGAACCTAGGACTACAAAAAGGGAATCAGGGTACCACTGGGCATCCTAGCTTAGTTTTTAAGGATGTTTAGGGCTTGGGGCTTGGATGACAAGCACCACTACTACTGCCACTGCCACTGCTGCGCTGCTGTTGCTGCTGCTTACCACTACTAGGACGACGACTACTACACTCCGAAACTCTGGTTCTGTCCGCAACAAAAACTGCAAGAGATACACACCCTAAACACTAAAGCCCAAACTCTTAAGTCCTAAAGTTTAGAATTTAGGGTTTAAGGGTCTAAAAACCTACGCGAAACCCTGAACCCCAAACCCTACACCCTAAACTCTAAACCCTACACCCTAAACCCTACTCCTTAAACCCTGAACCCCAAAGAACCCTTGAAAGGATGCCTTCAAGGAACCCTGTAAATCCTACACCCTAAACCTTACACCCTCTTGAAGCCCAAGGAACCCTTTAAAGGAACCGTTCGATTCAAGGAACAAGAAACCTGCGAGTTAGGATTAGGCTCGGGGATATAGACCCTCTCAATAAGGTCCCTTTTGAGAGAGCCAGAAGTAGGGTTCGGAAGGGCTACCCTTTTTCGGGGTCTCCCTCATCATGCTACCCATAAACCCGAAACCCCAAACCCTCAATCCCCTTAACCCTCTAATGTAGGAACCTGATCAAGAAACCTTGAGCCTTTATTTTTTTTGTTCCTTTTATGAACCCTACTATTTTGGGATTTAGGCATGCTACCCAGAACCCCCGAGGCCTGCAGCAGCCGGAGGAGCTCCACAGCATTAGCGACGCTGGGGTTGTCCTCGGCCAGACGTCTGGACATCTGAGCATCTACAGTAGTCCCGCGTAGATCCTCAGCTTAGAAGAGCGGCCCTTCCCTGACCAAAAACCCCTAAAACCTTAACCCCGAAACCCCAAACCCTCGAACCACCAAACCCAAAACTCCTAAGCCTACAGTAGACCCCATAAAGTTGGAAACCGGAGTAAGGCCAAGTAGTGCTGGGATTCCATATGCATTACTCGTCACTCTTAAGGATTGAGGCTATTGGGCTTCCAACTTTTGGGCTTCTACCATAGTCTCGGGGCCGTCGTCCTTAGAACAGGGGTTTGGGGTATCTTATGGTATGCCTGGGTAGATGGATGGAGAGGTAGATAGATAGATAGATAGTTTAGGACTTGTAAAGTTTCAGGCTGCATGTGCAAGCTCCGGGTGGTAGGTGTAAAGTACAGCAACCCTAAACCCCTAAACGCCGAACCCCCGAACCCCAAACTTATAAACCATAAACCCCCAAACCCTAAACCCTAATCCCCCTAAATCCCTAAACCCTAAACTAAAGTACAGTAACCCTAAAGCCCTAAACGCCGAACCCCCCCCCCCCCCCCCCCCCCCCGCCAATCCCTCAACCCTCGCCCTGGCTTATAAACCCCCTAAACCCCTAAGGCAGGAACCCTTAAGGGTTCCTTACAGGGATCTATAAGGGCTCTCTAAAGGGCTTCGGGTTTAGAGCTTTAGGGTTTAGGGTTTAATGTAGGAGCCTGATGAAGAAACCCTTGGGCCTTTTTTGTGGGGGGGTTCCTTTGAAGGGGTCTATAGGGGTTACTATAAGGGTTCTATAAGGTACTGTAATAATGTAGGATCCTGATTAAGAAACCTTGGGCCTTTATTAGGGTTCCTTATCTAGTTCATTGTTGGGCTAGGATTGAAAATTTACATTTTTATTCCTTATTGGGTTCAAGTACCCATCAAAATAGAAAATGTTACCCAACTGTGACAAAGTGATATGAATCCTAGTATTTTTGGGGGGGTTTAGGCCCAGGGTTTCTTAATCAGGTTCCTACATTACACCCCTAACTGCAAGCTCCTTCCGTGGGCCCTGGCTTCTGAGGTTCGGTGTTGGGAAGTTTAGGGTCAATCAATCGCATTTAAGGCGTTTAGGGTATTTGAGGGTTCCCTTGAGAAAGATTCCCGGCTTGGGTAGATACTGGCAGAATACAACAGCAAATGTGACCAGGAGACTACATGATCATCCACGATCGTTTTCAGCCCAGCCCCAGCACACCCTAAACCAAGGATATAGAGATTACAATGTACCCCCGACAAGGTTTAAGGTTACCTACTAAAACACACACTTATTGTCAGTATCCTGTGACCCCACTGTCTAAACCGCGAGGCGCAGTACCCTGAAGACTATACCCGAGAGAGTACCGAGGGAAAACGCCGTCAACAGATGCAATGCCATCGAGGTCAACGGATGCAAACGAGAGCTTCCAGTTCGGGAGTAATTGGGCGCAGATTCCGTCATTGCTCGTTTTCATTCATTGAGATCATACGTGATCTCATAGTTAATATCGCTTGAACTCTTAAATACACCCTTATCGAATCCGTAAAGGACCATAAAGCTTAACTGCTTGGGCCGACTCGGAAGGGTCTTAGCGTCAGGGTGAATTGCCCTCAAATCTTAAATCATAAAATCTCTAGCCCCTCAGCGCCAGCGGTAAAGCCCTAGACCCCACACCCACATTGACATGAAAAGCTGGCGTCCTCGATGTCGACTCGAGATGGCCGAGGCATTGCGAGCAATTCCGTCCGAGCTTTGGGGAGTTCGTTCGCATACTTCACGAGAGCTTTCTCGTAGTCTTCATAGTCTTCAGATGGCGATTCGGGCCGATTGAAGGTGTAGATGTCCGAGACAGCATCCTGGTTCCGTTGTCGGTGTCATCGGCTCTGGAATCCTGCTTGGCGGCCGAGAATTGGCCAATGCCCCTCCTCGAGAGCTCTGAGTCGTCATCCCCTTTGGCCAAGAGTTTCGCGTTCTCAAAAGCCTTGTAAAAACAAAAAAAGAATCTGGAAGGATGGCCTGGAGACGAGAGAGGGGAATCGGAGGGAAGTGGGGCCTCCCCATCATCGGAGCCGCCATCTTCGTATCGCCGATCCCCCATCCTGTCGACTGGCAAGTCGACATGATCTGTGTCTTCTGATGCGTCGCCAGGACAGGTAAAGAAGGCTCCGGTTTAGGGTGTACCTTAACCCTGAATAACCTACCTTTTTCGGGTTCCTTCTTATGATTTCATTATATATGTCCTTAAAAAGGTAGGTTATTCCGGGTTGAGGTAGGGTTTGAGGGTTAAGTGTTTAGGCGTTTAGGTGGAAGGGCCGCTGGAAGCCGGTTGGGAAGCGGAGCTTCCTGGTCATGTCTCAAACAGAACCCCTACCATATGGGCCTTAACAATCAGAACATGGTTTTGGGATGTTCTGGGGTATAGAGGTTTAGGGGCTTAGGGAGTTTAGGGAGTTTAGGGATCTTCATTTGGGTCGGGGGGGGGGGGGGTTATACTACAAATGTAGTAAGGCACCCAGAAGACTCCTATAGGTTCTTCTCCGGGCCCCCTAAAGACTTCAAGCCCTGAACCCGAAACCCTAAAACCCTAAACCCTAACCCTAAAACCCTAACCCCTAAACCCCTAAACCCCTAAAACCCCGAAAACCCTAAAACTCCAAATCCGAACGCCCTAATCCTTAAATCCCTAAACCCTAAACCCTAAATCCCTAAAGCCTGAACCCTAAATCCTAAGCCCCAAATCCCAACGAGCTCCGGGCTGGTGCCAGGCATTCGTGGATCGGCGCCTGCATGCGCAAGCTTTGCGGTTCAGGGTGGTTTAGGGTTTAGGGTTTAGGGATTCAGGGCCTTAGGGGTTTACCAGGTTTTTGTTTTTTTTTGAGCTCCTTTTCTCCAGTGCCCCGAAAGGTCTCAAGGGTTTAGGGGTTTAGGGTTTAGGGGTTTCTATACTGAACTCAGAACCCTAGCAAAAATTCTAATCTTTGCTGTTTCTTAGGGATTATAATAACCAAAAATATAAATTATTTCTAAGTACCCCTAAGGTTTAGGGTTTAGGGGTTTAGGGGTTTAGGGTTTAGGGGTTTAGGGGTTTAGGGATTTAGGGTTTGGGGTGCGGGGTCTTGGGGTTTAGGGATTAGGGATTTGGGGTTTGGGTTTCGGGGTCTGCATTGAGGATTTCAAGGTTTGGGGGTTCAAGGTCATAGGGTTTGTGGATTTCGTCAAGTCGATCCATCAGGTTTCCTTTAAAGGGATCCATAGGGTTGTAATAGGGGTTTGGGGTCGAGCATCTCGGGGTTTAGGGATTAGGGAGTTTGGGATTTAGGGTCTTAAGGTTTCATAGGGTCTTGGGGTCTTAGGTTTTAGGGATCAGGGTCTTCGGGACTAGGATCTTTCTCTCCAAGGGTAAAAGGAGCCTTAATGCCATTATATAGCCCATTATAGGGTAGGGGTCCCCATTAAGGGACCCTCCTTTTCCCCTTTGATTCTCAGGGTTTAGAGACTTTTAGGGTCGTTCCCTTTGCTTAGGGTTGGATCTTGGGGTCTTACCTGTAGTCTCCATTGTAGTTTTTTTTGGTTTAACCAAGTATACATTAAGGATCCTATAAGGTAACCCCAAAAAGGAGCTACAATGGAGACTATAGGTAGGGTTCAGGGTCTTAGGATCTTAGGAGCTTAGGGCCATAGGGCCTTAGGGGACTTAGTAACTGGTTATTTTAGGGACTTATAGGTACCATAACCCCAATTAGGGTCCCTTTTAGGGTACTTGTAAGTCTACTTACTACCTACTTACTAAGTCCCCCGACCCTCCAAGTAGGGCCTCAGGGTTTGAGGGTCTAGGGTTGAGGGCCTTAGAGTCGTAGGGTTTATAAGAGGTTCAGGGCTTATAAAACGTCTAGGAAGTCTAGCGTTTCGGGTTTGGAGCATCGGAGCCCGAAAACTACCAGAAGCGGAGGCATTGCAGGCTTGGAGGTGGGGAGGATTCCAGGCATGAGGAAGATCGGTAATTTGCCTTGCAAAATATCATGTTGGCAGCATCAAGCCTCCGTTGGGTTTACGGCAAAGGGTTTAGGAAAAATACTTCTCAAGGTTTAGGGCGCAGAAATTCTACGGCTGAGGTTGTTGGGTTTCTGGGATGCGATTTAGGTTTGTTGCTAGACTGAGGGGCTGAACACCCTGGCCCCCAAAAAAGGTTAACCTTTAGAATTTTGGTAGGATTATGCAAACCCCAAAAGGTTAAAGGTTGCCTACTCAGCTACTAAGTTTGGCTTTGGGATAGAAGTGTAACCTTGCAGCCAAGGCCTTTGCGCCACAGTAAGTCTGGAGAACCGCGAACCGGCTAAACCTCTGGCCCAGAGAACCCGAAGCCCTTAAGACGGCTTATGGGGGGTTTCCGATAATGGTGGACCCTACCCTAAATAGTAGGATCCTTGTCCGATTATCATAAGGACCCCAAAATAAGGTACCTCTAATTTTCCAAAACTCCCTAAACCCCTATAGAACCTTTTAAAGGAACCCTTGATACCCTCAAATTTTCGGAAGCTGCCATGTACCTTGAACTGTATTCAAGGTTCGGGCAACGGCTCGGGTATCCTCCTGAACAGCACACTACCTGTAGTCCCGATTAATTGTAGTTCCTTTTTTTGCTTTAACCAAGTATACATTAAGGATCCTATAATTATAAGGTAACCCCAAAAAGGAAGTACAATGGAGACTATAGGTAAACGAGTAACCTCGGAATAAAATAGGCTCCCTTGTTGGTACTGAGTATGGGAAAGGGTATAATTGAGGGTACTACTGGGCATCCTAGAACCGCAAATCCTGAAACCTAGGCCAAAGCTGTAAACCCTCAAAAGTAAACTCCTAAACCCAAGAACCTACACCCGCAACTCTAAATCCTGCACCCCAAACCCTGAACCCTAAACCCTAAACCCCAGACCCTAAACCCCTAAACCCCTGAACCCTAAACCCCAAACCCTAAAAGCCTGCCCTAGAACTTACCTTTGGTTAGTTAGGGTAATGGTAGTTAGAATTGTACCCCATTCCTCCATTCCTTACTAACCAAAGGTAAGAAAAGCCTGCCTGCTGGGAACCATAGAGCTCCCTCGACATGCCGTTGGCCGCGGATCGCGCCGTCCGCCGCCGTTTTCGCGCGGGCGTCATGGGTGGGCCTGGGTTTCGGGTTTAGGGTTTTTGGGGTTTGGGGTTTAGGACTGTTGGGGTTTGAGGATTTATTTAGGGTTGAGTCATGTCTTATTGTCGCTTATTGTTGTTGTGTTCTTCTTCTAGGCTTCATATATGTTTCCCCTGAAGGTCTGAATGATGCCATTTAGGGCTTGATTTGGCAGTAAGGGCTCGGGTCTGGGGTTAAGCCTGAACTCCGTTACAAATGTTCTTCTCTTGCCTCTGCTGTGCTCAGCCGCTCTGTTTATCTATCTGAGCTACCCAAAAGGTGCCAGATCCGCAAGGACTGGCTGGGGGTAGCCGGGGAAGCTGGAGCAAGGCCGCAGTTGATCAGGAGCGCGTCGCCTAGATCCTGACAGGTTTCAAGCGAAGGCTGCCAGAAGCCAGTCCTTGGAGGATCATGGGACTTAGTAACTATAGCTATAAGTCCCTGAATTGGGGTTCTAAGCAACTGTAAGTATCGTTGCACCAATAATAACCCTAGTTACTAAGTCCCATGATCCTCCACTATCATTGTGCCAGCTTTTGTGGAGCACGCCTACGCTTCAGTTTCGAGATCGCGGTCATGGGGTAATTAGTGCGAAGTTCAGATTTGCAAAAAGGCAACCCTAAACCCTAACACCCGAAGGGGAGGGTCCAAAACCCTAAACCAAGGGGGAACGTCCAAAACCCCTAAACCCAAGCGGGTGTCCAACACCGAGGGTTCAATATCAAAGCTCGATGTCTTCGGGGGCCGCCGTAACGCCGTAACAACGGGATCCTGCTGGGGGCGGGGGTGGGGGGGCCATAAGTGGGGAACAGGGTATGGGATATATCACACTTTGGTTCTGTACGGACTGTCGCGGGATAGCAATACTAGTTGTTCCGACCCTATATTACGCCTGAATTTGGAGTTACATGACATATTGGATTCCTTCTCATTTAAATCGCATATTGGGCTTACATGATTCGAAGCCTTGAAGCCCACACCCAATTCCTCAAATCCCGAAGCCTCAAACCGCAACAATCTTCAGGTAAGCAGAAAGACCGTTAGAGATTCCCAGAAGAGAACTCAAAACTAAAAAAATATCAAAAGTGTTCAAGGGTTTAAGGTTTGGGGCTTCGGGATAGAAGCCTTCCCCCTACCCTCAACCAAACACCCTCGACCCGAAAACCTGGACCTCGTAGCCTGAAACCCTAAACCCTAAAAGCCCAAAGCCCAAACACAAAACCCCGAAACCATAAAATCCTAAAGTCCAAAATACTAAATCCTAGCCCGCTTCGCCAACAACTCCAAGTCAAGTCGATCCCCTGTGGCCGCGGCTGCCCTGCGGAGCCCGCGTACCTCTCTTTCGGGGTTTGAGCAGGGTTTGGGCACGGTAGGGTTTAGGGTTTGAGATGACATCCCCATAAAGTCGAAAACCGGATTAAGGCCAAATAGTGCTGGGACTCCCTATACATTACTCTTAAGGATTGAGGCTATTGGGTTTCCAACTGTTGGGCTTCTGCTTCAGGGCTGCCTGTTGAAATTTGGGGCTTCAGGCTTCAAGCTTCGCAGTCTTGGCATCAGCATGTAGGGTTTATGGTTGAGGATTTCGGGATCAAGGTTTGGGTGTCGTTTAGCTTTTGAGGGCTTTAGGGTTGAGGATTTAGGCTTTACACTTTAGGGGTTGCGGCAGTATACATCCTAAATCCTTAACCTTAAACCCGAAACCCTAACGCTTAAAGCTCGACAGATGGAATGCAGGCACTTAGTGTTACTTTCAGGTCTTGTGGAGATCAGAGCTCTACATGCTGCGAATTGGGCTTTGGGACCATACCTTAACTTTCAAATCCTTCATGCTTACGGGATAATCGCTTTAGGGTGTGTCGGGGTTTTGGGTGGAGATTGGCCGCTTCAGGCTTTGAAGTGCGGCGTGCTAGCAACCTCACTGCAAGCCGGCCGCAGTAAACTGCTTGCACCGGAAGATACGATAGCAGTGCTTACAGCGATGCTTGTGCACAAGCTTCTCCGGCTTGTCAGGATCAAGGATAGTACCGCAGTAACCGGAGGAGCATTCCTCACAGCGTTCCCGGCACTCCGTGCGGGAAATAATGGCAATGCGGTAGAGCTCGATCAGAGATCAGTGACCAGGGAGTGTTGTTCAAAGCAGGGGAACGGGTCATGAGGTATTCACCTTCACCTACACTTACAGCAAATCAAAGTACTAAGCAACGGCCTTCAACAACAAGCTAACAAAAACATGAAACTGGTATTACGGGGAAAGCAGGTCATGAGGCTTTAGAAGGTCCAAGACGTTAGATGTTAGAGAAGGTAGATGTGTCGAAACGGACGCTGCGAACCTCAGTTGTGCAGTCCGCTACAGGGCCCTTAACTAATTCTTATTCTGCTTAGCTCTTCCCATGTATTCGGTGTTGGCAAAGATCGGATTCTACTATGATACTACTATTAAACCTAAACCCTGTTAACTAACCCTAAACCCTAAAGCTAAACCCGAAACACCAAGCAAAACAAAGAACCCCAAAACCTTAAATCCTGAACTCTACTAAACTCTCAATGCAACTGGGTCGCCTTCGCCGCTGCTCTGTTTCTGCTCACCTTGGCATCGCAGCACGTTGGACCTACTCGTTAGTAACGGTTCCAGGTTTAGGCTTTGCAGGGTTTGGGCTTTGTCTTCGGGTTTAGGGCATAGCTGGGTTTAGTAGCCATCTTACTTTTGCAGTTTGCCGGGAGGCTCAGTGTGGAGAGTTAAAACGGCTACTGACTGCACTCCAACATTGTGCACATGTCGATGCTGCCTGAACCCTGAAGATCCCACGTAACGCCCTTTTTCCACCTGAGTGGCTTGACCACAAAAACGGGAAACTCGCGATGCCTCCTTCGCCATACCCAGCCTAGTCTCCTCGTATGTAACAAGCTAATCTAAGGACTCAGTTTCTTATGAGGTAATGGCGGATGCCAAAAATTGAGATACTTTCCGGGAGTTTCATTACAGAATCTCCTGCCTGGTTTGAAACCCCTAAGCTCTCAACCCCAAACCTCAAACGACCTTGACACCAACGCGGGAGCCGTTGTTGTGCGTGTTTATCAGCTTCATCTTTAACCTAATATACTTGGAGCCTCATGAGACTTAGAAAGTAAGGTTATAAGTAGGTTATACTTAGGATAACCCCACTTAGGGGACTTATACCCCCACTTATAACCTACTTACTAAGTCCCATGATCCTGCAAGTAGGGGCCTTGATAGAATAGAGTTTGGGGGTGTATGAAATTAGTAGTGTTGGTTGGTCATTATTTAGGCCTCTGCATTATCGCTGGACTCTGTTCTACAATATATCACATGTCCCTAACAGCATTGCTGAATAGTTTTGGTTTAGGCTCTTTAGGGTGTCGGGTTTCTGGGTGTTTGGGGCTTATAGAGTAGGGTTACCGGTTGGGGTTTCAGGGGTGGTGTAGTGCGTAACATGTGGCCTTAATGATCAACGCAAGTTCCTTGAAGGGCTCTTGTTGTTAAATGGGAGCTTCCGGAAATAGGGGACCCTAATATAGTACCCTAAATAGTATTACCAGGACCCCAAATAAGGTATCCCTAATTTTGGGAAACTACCAAATGGATCTTCAAGGCCCTATACGGGTCACCATAAGGGCCTCGTATAGGGGCCTTAATGGATAGAGTAGGGTAGGGTTTTGGCGCATGTTGTAGTATGGGTATATTTTACTTGGCGTTCTTCTGGTTGGCTCTTAGGACTTTAACTTGTTGGGTTTCTACTTGAACTATTATAAGGAGGCTAAAAGTTTAACTTTTTCGAAGGGGTTCAGAAGTCAGCCAAGTTTAGTGGGGACTAGAGAACAGTGTTACTCATTATTCCGAACGCTGTAGTCGACAGCCACATGCGTGGACGTTTTAGAAACGAGGAATGCCGCCAAAAAGGAAGAAGCAAGATAAAGATATGGGAGTTTCCGACAATAGGGGACCCTAATATAGTAAATAGTAGGATCCTCATTATAGGGACCCCAAAATGAGATACCCCTAATTTTCGGAAACTCCCATATTATGACACTCTGACGGTAAAGCTCCCTGAAGAGAGCCATGGCCGACAAGAGATTCCAATCTTAACGTTTAGGGATTTAGGGTTTAGGCAGGAATTAAGCTTCAGAGAGAAACGTGGCCTAATCCAACCCTAAACTCCCGCACCACCCCACGCCGACGGGATAAGAGCCACATTGAGGCTGCGGCCGTCTGGGCTCGGGCAAGCCTCCTCGCAGCGGGCGCTTGCGGGCTTCCACCACGGATTTATGTAACCTATCATTTGGTGAGGCTCTTGTGCCAAAAAGTCATAAGTACCATGTAACGTAAGCCTCCACCCTAATCGCCACGGGCCGCCACCGTCCTCCAGGCCTTTTGTTGTGAGCCTTAGGGTTACTGCTGGGTAAGAACAACGGAAACCTGAGGATATGCGGTGCGAAGTCTGGTGCTCAGGATTTAGGGTTTTGAAGTTTTTACGGATGTCTAGGGTATACTGGTCAGAATTAATCAACCGCTGTAGTAGGGTGTTCTATCAAGCTCTACATTGGTTTACTGGATTTTGTTGGGTGCTGATTGGGTTTTGCGTGCATTTGTGAGGTCTGAGTTTTGTCTGCGCAATTTGCAAGGCCGCCCCCCTTAAAGACTAAACTACGCATCGACATTTCAACATCCCCAAGATGATGTTTAATAAGGCTCTATGAGTAAACAAGAAGGGAAATTTAGAAGCTACCCCAAACCGATACCTAGTACACCCTTAAAGGAACCCCGTAAAGGAACCCCCAAAAACCCTAAAGCCTCGAACCTGAAGCCCCCTATACCCCCCTTAGAACCATATTGAAAACACTATTTCAAAGATTCACTTGGGTTTTATGTGAGTAAAAAAAAGAAATAATTCCTAAGGAGACTCTAGCCCCCAGATCCGAACTTCAAAGCCCAAGCTTCAGAGCCAATGCTCTCCCGATCGGCTTCGAAGGGCGGGCTCCCTAAGTTAGGGGTTTGTTTGGGGGGGGTGGGGGATCCTGTTTGAAGGTTTAGGGGTTTAGGGTTTAGGGGTTTAGGGTTTGGGGGGTTTAGGGTTTAGGGGTTTAGGGTTTAGGGGTTTAGGGTTTAGGGTTTTGTACGGCTGCCGTACTCTTTTTGTGGACCTTGAACGGGTTAAGTTTAGAGCACTACAAGCTAGGGATCCGAATGTGAGTCCCTAGAGCCACAACCCCAAGCCCTGAGCCCAAACCCTAAACCGAATGAAACCCCAAACCCTACTACTTTAAGCCCAACTACCCTACCTTATTAAGCACTCAACATACGGAAGTCATCATCAGGAACCCTCAACTTGTAGCCTAAATCCGCTCCTTCACGACCGGCTCCACATTCAGCATGCCAACCCCCCCCCCCCCACCCCCCCCCACCCCCCCGGCCCTATCAGATGGTTTAGTATCGTTTAGGGCTTGGGGCGTAGAAAAGGTCAGGGTTTCAGGGTGTAGGGGTTTAGGGTTCAGGGGCCAGTTTTGCAAAAGGTTACGGATTTGGGATAGGGGGTCTCCTGGTCGACTTCCATGCTGATCGGCTCGTTAACGATGCCAATGAAGTCGCCGTCACCTGGACATGGGCTTGAACCCAAAAGTCTAAAGCCTAGAAACTATCCTAACCTTAAGCCCTTAATCAAACATCCTGTAATGAAGCCGCCCTTGTAAGATTCCATCGGGCCCTGATGTCCCCTGCACCCTGGGCAGCAAAAACCCTAAACCGCCTAGACCTTAACCCTGAAGCCTCGACTCTAATCTCCTTCTAAACCCTGAGCCCTAAACCTTTAGGGCTTAGGGCTTAGGGGTTCAGGGTTCCTAAACCCTGAACCCTAAACCTTTAGGGTTTAGGGCTTAGGGGCTTAGGGCTCCTACACCCTAAACCCTAAGCCCTTACAGTTTAGGGCTTACGGCTTAGAACCTCTAAAGCCAGGTCTAAGGCTGCAAGATTTAGCGTTTCGGGAACAGGAAAAGCCATTCGGGCTCAGGGCTCAAGGCTTACGATGTCAGAGTTCGGGTGCTTCCGCTGTAGGATTTCGGGTTCAGGGATACTCTAGTGGCGTTCTCTTCCAAGCAAAGCCACGGGCGTTGCTTGTTGACATGAGCGTCGACTGAATTCTTGCACACGGCCAGCAACGGTCCATGATATAAACCCTGCATGAACCATAATAAGGAATATACCATAATTCCCATAGTTTAGGGTCCTTAGGGTACTGCAGGATTTATATCATCAACCGATAGCTTCCTTGTAAGCCTAAGCCCCAAGCCCTCGACGTACTAAAGATCTGCTTCGGAGCGCACCCTGAACCTATAATCCCAAAAAGCCCTAAACCCTAGGCCCTAATTCCTAAACCCTCTACCCTAACCCCTGAACCCTCAACCCTAATCCGTAAATCCTCATCCCTAAAGACCCTCATCCCCAAAAACCCTCCATCCCTAAACCCTCAACCGTAACCCCTATAAACATGGCTTCGGGGCATGCACGTTACACTACAGAACAGGGAACTCTTGGGCGACACCATAACAAAATGTTCCGACCTCTCAGTTCAGCCCGGCTTATGACTCTTTTAGGCGCTTTAGGGTGTTAGGGTGTTAGGGTTCAGGGTTTAGGGGGTAGGGCGAGGAGGGGGGTCCTTGATATGACTTCTTAGCATTTAGGGTTCAGCTCAACCCTTTAAGCAACGCTATGGAAGCTCGACATCCTATAGTGCCCTAATTGTTCAGGATACCCCTACCCCTTCAAGCAACCCTTTATGGAAAGCCAACCAACTTCCCGGCGCCAGCGCCTGACCACACGAAGCTGTAACCCAAGCTCCAGTTCTCCACGATCGCCTGCACTTGAATAGGCCCCCGGCACCCTAAACCCTAAACCCCCAAACCATACAACCCTAAACCCCAAACCCCTAAACCATAAAAACCCTAGATCATAAACCCCAAACCATGTGACCCTAAACCCCTGAACCCCTAAACCATAAAACCCCAAACCCCAATAATTTGTTCTAGAGCTTCGGCTCTACATGAGTGCATCCTTGGGGCTGCCAACGGCTTTATGGCAAAAGGGCCTCGGGTCTACTTGGAGGGTCGGGGGACTTAGTAACTGGCTATTTTATAGACTTATAAGTACCATAACCCCAATTAGGGTCTCTTTCAGGGAACTTATAAGTCTACTTACCACCTACTTACTAAGTCCCTGAACCCTAAACCCTAAACCCTATAGTACCCTTATCGAGCCCTTTAAAGGAACCCTTAGAATCCCCTTTAAAGGAGCCCCCTACTTACTAAGTCCCCTAAAGACCCTCCAAGTAGGATTTAGGATTCAAGGCTTCCATAGGAGATCAGGGCTTTAGGGTTTAGGGTTTAGGGCTTTAGGGTTTAGGGTTTAGGGTTTACGATTAGCTGGGCTAAGAAATCACTAGGCCAGCAGTGTAGAAGTAAAAAACCCACCCGCCCAAAGAATCCCAAAACATTAAGAAAATATACACTTTCTCCCTAAACCCTAAAGGCCAACCAAACATGCCCTAAACCCTAGAAGCCACTACTATACTCCAAAACTCGTTGCGCAAGCCACATCCCAACAAAAAACGTTAATTTTGCAGACCTCAGGCCGGGAAGGTCTGCAAAATTAGCGATTTTGTTGCGAAATTGTTTGCCCAGGGCCCTTCTCGCAACAAAAATCGCTAAGGCCATTAACATTTAAATATACATTTGAAAGAGAGGTTTAGGGTTTAGGGTTTAGGGCTTTAGGGTTTAGGGTTTAGGGTTTAGGGTTTCGGGTTTAGGCTTTAGGGTTTAGGGCTTTACCCAAAGGGTCCAAGTATCATTCTGGTATATACTGAAATAGGGCATTTTGGGGGTCTAAGTATATACCATAAGGATACTTGGACCCTTTGGGTTAGGGGTTTGAGGTTTAGGGTCTAGGGTTTTGGTGCGTTTCGGTGCTCTTTTCGCATTATCGCGGTTCTGGGCGTGCGGTTGAGGAAATAAATCTGTGCTGTTTTGAGGGTAACGAACTGCTTCGGGGTGACTTCATTATATTCAGCAGCATGTCTGGTTTTGCTTTGTTTTTTGCTGGGGATTCTGCTGTAAAATTTTGTGCTTGAGTGCATGCCTTGACAACGGAACAGGATCCTCAATGTTCTTATCTGGCTGTTGTTGCTCCAGCCCCAGAATACCCTACACGAATCAAATCAATAGTTCTAATCTTCCCTAGCACCGAACCTAAACCCTCAACCGTTCAGGATATGCGGGTTCGCAGGCAGTTGCCCAGAGGTCTTCGAACTTTAACCTTAGGGCTTAGGCTGAGGGTTGAACGTCTCGGGTTTAAGGTTTTGGGGTTTTCGAATTTGGGTTGAAGGTCCTCAGAGTTCCTCCAAGCTCCTATACTGGGACTCGTTGGTTTTTTCGGGACGATCTTCGGGACGAGTTCCGACTCAACCACCTCGTAACCTTCCTCGGGATTCTCGTCTTGCTTCCCAGACTGGAGGCTTCGAAGCCCTCTCTCCCAGTCGATAGCGAACTGTCTGTCGAGGGAAACCTCGTTTATCTTCATCCACATTGATTGGATGCCTTCGTAAGCGTTCTCAGTCATCGTGGGAGGTGCGTCATCCATCGAAGCTCCATCGTATAGATTGTGATCGTACGTCTCGTCCTTCCCGAAACAAGAGTCGACACCTGTCATGCATTGCACGAACCATTCTGCTGGGATTTCTCTACGACAGATCATGGCGGCCCTCATAGGATTTAGGCTGGTCCAGGGCGAAGGATTCTAAGGTTTCTTCTTAAGCTAGCGTAAACGAGGTTTGGGTAGTAGTCTCGCTAGGGGCACACGACTGTGATTCGCGAAACCCCCTCCCTCCAATCCTGAGAACCCTACATCGTGACCCTACCCCCTAAACCCCAAACCTAGAACCCTAATCCTAAACCCATCACCAAGAAACCTCAACCAATCCCAAATCCATTAACCAAGAACCCCAAACCACAAACCAGGAACCCTAAACCCAACTGAGAATCCCCAACCCCAGGCCGGGTTTGGGCTTGTTGAAGGGTTTAGGGCTTAGGCAAAGACCCGACACAGAAAAAACAAAACTGACTATACAGCAGAAGCCAAAAAGTTGGAAACCCCATGGCCTCGATCCTGTAGAGTAATGTATAGGGAATCCCAGCACTATTTGGCCTTAATCTGGTTTCCAACTTTATGGGGTTTACTGTGTAAGTACAAGGCAGGCAGCCCTAATGCCAAACACCTCTCATAAACTCCAAGGGTAAAAGGAGGGACCCTTAATAAGGACCCCTAGGTATATATACCCTTAAAAAAGCTATGATATACCCATTATATAGCCCATTATAGGGTAGGGGTCCCCATTAAGGGTCCCTCCCTTTCCCCTTTGATAGACATCCCAAAGAAGCTCGACCCACCATAACAAAACACATAACACCATTTGGCTGGTTGTCAAAATTAGGGTCCCTTTTTGGGTCCCTGATATCGTACGGCACCTAATATTTAGGGTACCCAAAAAAACAAAATTTTGACAACCGCACCCTGTCAAAACCACCAAAAAACAGTAAACAACCCTCTTGAGCCACTATTCACAACCTTGGCCCTAAACCCTAAACCCTAAGCCCTAAATCCTAAACACTAAAGCCTAAACCGTAAATCCCAAACCCTTTTGGGATCAAGGCTTGGCCTGGCTGAACCCTGGAGAGGATTGCCGTGGGTGGTCCTGTGCGGCAGTATCTTCGGCTCCATTGGGCCCTTGTAACGGTTGATGATATAAATCCTGCATTACCTTACAGTAGAAGCCGGAAAGTTGGAATATCATTATCATAATCTTTTTAAGGTAAATTATAGGGGATCCTGCCATTATTCCATATTCCAACTTTCTGGAGTTCCCTTTAAGGACTCTAAACTATGGAAATTATGGTATATTCCCTATTATGGGTAATGCAGGATTGATATCATCAACCGAATCACCCTCCTTGTGGTTTAGGGATGTTTAGGGTTTGGGGCTTAGGGCATGGTGATGTCATTATCATCAGCAGCATCATCATCTCGTCATGGTCATGATCATGACATTTTGATCATCATCACCATTAGCATGTCAACATCGGCATTAATATCTATATATAGGTTTGGGTCAACCTGCCCATACTGTCATACAGGCAATATAAGCGGTCATTAACACTTCACTCCTCTATGTTTTGTAGCCAAAACGCCAAAAATGTGTTTGTCCGAGTCTCAGCGCGAGAGATGACGTTGCAGGGTTTAGGATTTCGAGATATTTGAGGGTGCTAAGGGGTTCAGGGTTTCGGATTTAGCGTTCAGGGAGCTTGGGATTTGCGGCGGATCTCCTGGAGGCATACTGTTGATGATATAAATCCTGCATTACCTTAAGGACCCTAAACTATAGTAATTCTGGTATATTCCTTATTATGGGTCATGCATGATTTACATATCAACCATCGTATAATGTTCGGGATACACTGCAATGCACTATACAGATGGTAAGAATTAAAACCAAACCCCATACCCTAAAGCCCCTATGTCAGCCCTAAGCGCTAGAAACTGTTTCGCCAGCAGCTCGAGGATTTGTCGGAGATCTCAATATTGTATAAGGACCTGAACGAATATGATAGTCAATGGTTAATTGAGGGTTCTGGAGTAAATGATAATCAACATAGCCATGGGAGTACATTGGGTGGGGCCAAGTCACTGACTATTGAAACCTATATTTGGAGCTGAGCATTGGAGGAATGTCGGGTAAAGCCCTAAACTACCCTGAGCCCCGTTCGGGTTGAGGACGGGACTTTTTGACTCTGAGTGGCTTGCGGAAGTTTGGTTGGGGGCTGCTCGGAATTCTTGAATTTAACGAAATGCGATCCTCTAAAGCGGCTTTCAGCACTTCCACAACAATCGTAAACCTCAAACCCCAACCTTCGAAATCCCAGACTTCCATCGTCGGTGCTTTCGAGGCCCCCAAAACCCCTGGACACCAAACCACACACCCTGAACCCTAAACACGGAGCCCTGAACCCCAAATCGCAAAGCCCTAAACCCTAAGCCCGAAACCCCAAAACCCGAAAGATCCCTTTACAGGATCCCTTAGATCCCTTAAAAGAGCCCTAAACCCCAAACCGCAAAGCCCTAAACCCCAAGCCCTAAACCCTAAACCCCAAACCCCAAACCCTAAACCCTAAGCCAGAAACCACAAAACCCGAAACCTGGCCTGTAGATGGTGGATCGCTTTCATCAAGTTCCACGACTCCGGCAGGTCCCGCATCGCAGGCGCAGGGGTCTGCGCCAGGTTTCAGGATTCGGGGCTATAGGGTTTAGGGGTTTGGGGCTTGGGGGGTTTGGGGTTTAGGGGCTTTAGGGTTTAGGGGTTTAGGGTTTAGGGTTTACGGGTTTAGGGTACAGTTTCAGAATTCGGGGCTTTAGGGTTAGGGTCTAGGGCTTAGGGTACGGTTTCAGGATTCGGGGCTTTAGGGCTTTGTAGGGCCTCCTTTGAAGGCTTTTTCAAACGTTTCAGTGGGGATTCTAGAAGGGTCTGTTAGGTTTTAACGGCTGGGCGTTTGCGTAGGGGGGTTTTGGGGTCAGAGGTCTAGGATTCATTTCGGGTTCAGACGCCGGATCAGATAGCAAGAAGTTTGGAACTAACGCAACAGCTCAATTATATTGCCGCCAGGCTTCGTCCGCGAAGACTGCCGTCCAGAGGTTGTGGCCAAAGACGGGCTACGTCGACCAAGACCACGCCAGCTTATGGCCAGTAGGATTTGGCGTCATCTGAGCTTCTGGCATTAGAAAAAATGGTCCTTGGCCTACCTGAAGTTGGACGGTTTGTTAATTTCAGTCCAGATGCAGATGTGGTCTGGAGCATTCCCGTGGGCGGCCACGACGCAGGCGTCCACATCCACACACATGTAGGTGGTCATGGTTTCGGGATCCCGATAGGCACGGGTCACATGCTGTAGAGCCCTGATAGATAGATCACCCTCGTGCAATACCTTAAAACCCTCAGCCCCTAAGCCCTAAACCCCAAATTACACCCGAAACCCTTAACCCTAAACCCCTAAACCCCCAAACCCTAAAACCCTAAACCTCAAATCAAACCCTAAACCCTTAACCCTAAACCCCTAAACCCCTAAACCCTAAACCCCAAATCAAATCCTAAACCCTTAACCCTACTTGGAGGGTCGGGGGACTAAGTAAGTAGGTAGTAAGTAGACTTATAAGTACCCTAAAAGGGACCCTAATTGGGGCTATGGTACTTATAAGTCTATAAAATAACCAGTTACTAAGTCCCCCGACCCTCCAAGTAATCCCTAATTGGCGTAAACCCCCAAACCCTAAAACCTAAACCCCAAATTAAACCCTAAACCCCTAAACCCTCAAACCCTTAAACCGGCTCGGTGGGCTTGGAGTCTGGAGCCCTTAACACGGCACCCCTCAACTCAACCTGGGAGTTTCCAAAAATCACGGGCGCCTTACTTAGGGTTTAGGGTTTAGGGTTTAGGGTTTAGGGTTCAGGGTTTAGGGTTTAGGGTTTAGGGTACCTTATAAGAACCCCCAAAAGGTTGAAAAGTGGAGTTTACAGCCAATAAGATAAGGATCCTACTATCATAATATAAGAATAATATTTAATATTAACAGTAATAATCTAGTAATAGTAATAGTAATAGTAATGAGGATCCTACTAATTTAGGGTACCTTATTAGGGTCCCCTCTTTTCGGAAACTCTCACCTGCTGCCGACAAGCGCGACAAGCTCCGAAAAGCAAACAACACCCCGGAGACGAAAACCTCTGAAGCACCCCCAGGCCCTACTCGAATCATTGAGGCCCCTCCTACACCATAGAAGTCTACTATAGATCCCTTATAGACCCCGTTAAAGGGACCCTGTAAAGAGCCCCTACATTACCCACCCTCCCTGCAGTAAAGATGCTGGCCCTCATCCCTACAGAGATGCCTTAGCTTGGCTGACTTCTGAACCCATCCCAAAAGTTCAACTTTTGGTCTCCTTTTATAGTTCATATAGAAACCCAAAAAGCTAAAGTACTAAGGTAAGTATTCTAGTTCATATAGAAACCCCAAAACGTTTAAGTCCTAAGAGTCAACCAGAAGAACGCCAAGTTTAGATTCGATCTATCACCCCAGTGAGGCTACCTTGCATGCCCTGACGATATCCGATGGAGCTGTTGAACAAACAAGCTCCAAAAGTCCTCAATCCTAAGCAGCAGCAAAGTCAACCGCCAAGCCATAAAACACTAAACTGCAAAATCACGACGCCTAAACTCTACATGCCAAAGCCGAGGCGAAAGTAGGTTCCCACCCAAAAACAGAGGCCGTAACAGCCACCAGTAAGACCCAGAAAACAGGATCAGAACAACAACGACCCCACGTCCTGAGAAAGACGAAACGAACAAGAAGAAGAAGAATACGAAACAGAACCTTTTCAACCCTACACCCTTCACCCTAAAAACCCTCAAACCTTAAAAGAACCCTACACCCTTCACCCTAAAAACGCTAAAACCTTAAAGAAGAACCGAACCAAAAACCAACAGGCCTCGGTCATCTGAGCATCCGCATCTGCACTCGGCTGGGGCCTCCGGTGCTTGCCGGCTTCGGTTTAGGGTTTAGGGGTTATATTGGGTTTAGGGTTTAGGGGTTTAGGGTTCAGGGGTTTATTGTTTAGGGGTTGAGGGTGTAGGGTTTTAGGGTTTAGGGGGTTAGGTGTTTAGGGGTTGCGGGTTTAGGGTTTACATGCGTTTAGAAGCTTGAGGCCTCCGCATAGAGTGCGATGAGGGCTTGCAGAGGGATGTTTATGGAGCTTATCGGCTTTCTAATTTTGGTCGGGTTTTACAGGTCTTTACTTAGTCAGAGTAGGCTTTGTTAACACTTAAGGGTTTTACAAGTGTGCTATAAGTCCTTTTGTTAGTGAAATTTCATCCGGGTTTCAAGGTTGCAGGGCTTTGGGATACAGAGACAAAGACTTTGGGTTTCAACAAAAAATTAGGTCAAACCGTTTAGGGCGTATGGATTTAGAGGTTCTGACTTTGGGGGCTTCGGTTTGGGGGTTTGGGGTTTTTTAGTTGAATGGCGTATTTGTTTCTGGGTTTAGGGGTCTGGGCGAACCAGCAGGCTCAGGGGTTTGGGGTCTTATGTTTTTTGGCTTAGGGCAGTTCTGCTTTGGCGGCTTGGGGCTGAAGGTCTAACGTCGAAATCGCATGGATTTCCTGGGACCAAAGACGGTCAACCTGTATTGTAAAGTGATGAACCATGCAGACCGTTGAAAAATCCACCCCCTCTCATCAATTATGCACTTCCGAGGGATCTCAATGTCAAACACTACCTACACCCTAAACCCTAAACTCTAAACCCTAAATTCGTAAGCCCTGCCACTCAGAACCGTAATGAAGCCCAACAAGTTAAGATCTCCTCTGAGGTCCAAGCTGAGTCAGGAACAATCGTTATATCTACTTCTGCTCATAACCGCGACTTCTCGAGGACCTTGATCCTTCAAGCAGAACCAGGGTTTAGGGTCTGAGGCTTCGCATGTAGCCTACCAGCACAGTAAGGCTTGGGTAAGTTTGTTGTGTGTTTGTGCAGGTGTTTGTTGCGGCGGAGGGCTTGTGAGGTCTGGGCCTCAAAACCCCAAACCCTAAACCACTAAGGCTCCAAGGCGCATTCGGCCATGATGGCCGACCAGGCCGTGCCGAGCAATGCCCCACGCCCTTCGGTTTAGGGATTAGGGGTTAGGGTGAATTTCTGCCCGAAACCTTCGACTGGATCGTGTGTCTGTCGATGACTCCAATGAAGGCTTCTTCGGATCCCCCTCCTTGCTCCACGGTAATCTCGCTGAGGTACTCCCTACAAAGCAACCCAGCCGTTGATAAACTTCCGGGCGGTGTGCTCTAGAGCTCGATTCCGAAGAAGAGAGAGTCGGACTGCATGGTACGAAGTGGCCTCGTCGACCATGCACACAAACGCATCCCACTTAAAGTCATGCTCAAACTTCAAGTCCAGGTGCACGGCCAGACCAAAACTCACAGCCCGGCTGCCTCTAGGGTTTACGGTCTAATCCGTCCCAACGATGGACATGACATGCAACTGGACTATCATACTCCTTCTGTTTCACTATACTAGAATCCAGCCCCGAACAAACACTGTTCTAACCAAGGCGCTAGGCCCCTGCAATTGTAACTGGTTTACAGCCCCAAAGCAGCCGAAAATCCTGTTCTAATTATCAAGGCCCCTAGGCTCGAGCCTCATAGCAACATGTACTACTTAGGCCGCTATAGTACACCCTAAACCCCTAAACCCCAAGCCCTACCTTAACCCCATGTAACCTACCTTTTTAAGGACGTATATAATTATAAAGAAATCATATTAAGGAGCCCTAACAAAGTAGGTTCCTTAGGGTCCAGGTACACCCTAAACCCCAAACCCCTAAACCCGAAGCCCTACATCCTAAACCCTAAACCCCTAATCCCTAAAGCCTTAAACTTAAAAAACCCCTAAATCCAAAAAACCCCGAAGGAAGAAAAGGCGCCCTGTCTGACTGAGGCTCTGGCATCATGCAGAGTCGAAGGTTAAGCTGAGGCCATGCAGGCTCTGCGCTCTTGGCGCCTTGCCAGGGCACTCTAAACCCTAAACCCTAAACCCTAAACCCTAAACCCTAAACCCTGAGGCCATGCAGGCTCTGCGCTCTTGGCGCCTTGCCAGGGCACCCTACTTGGAGGGTCGGGGGACTTCGTAAGTAGGGGCTCCTTTAAAGGGGATTCTAAGGGTTCCTTTAAAGGGCTCAATAGGGGTACTATAGGGTTTAGGGTTTAGGGTTCAGGGACTTAGTAAGTAGGTAGTAAGTAGACTTATAAGTACCTTAAACGGGACCCTAATTGGGGTTATGGTACTTATAAGTCCCTAAAATAACCAGTTACTAAGTCCCCCGACCCTCCAAGTAGGGGCTTGAGGGTTGAGGGTTCAAGGGTTTAGGGTTTAGAAGTTAGGGCTTTAGGGTTTGGGGCTTTAGGGTTGAGATTTTGGGGCTTAAGGGTTTAGGGTTTGGGGCTTTACGGGTTTGGGGCTTTAGGGTTTTGCGCTTAAGGCCTCCTCCATAACAACGACGACCATAAGGGTACTGGAAGGATGAAGGGTTTTCTGGGCGCCTCAGAAGACATCGAACTTTTGGAAGTCATGGGCTCTTTTCTAAATGGGCTTCAAGCTTCGAAAACTGGAGTTCTATTTGTTAAGGGCTTTGGCCATGTGTTTTGAGGATTTGCGGGGTTGTGGAGTCTCGGAAGTGTCTAGGGTTCGGGTTTAGGGTCCACGGTCTCGAGGTTGGGTTTGCTGCATGGCGGAGCTCCCTATTTCGCCTTGTTTTTGTCCTTGGCACGTTCCCTGAAATAAATCTTTGAATGCAACGCCGACGACACGCACCATAATCCATCCTACCAGACGAACAAACTAAGTTAAGAGAGCATCCAGCTAAAGTCTTGCGGAACACCATGCCCCTGCAACACCTCACACGCCCCGTAACATCGCAGATATAAATTCCAACTCTGTACTTCGAAAAGGAATCCTTTTGCGCATTTGAGAGTTCTGAAATTGCAGAGACTGGTGTTGGTGCATTTTGGGCTTCTACCATAACCGACTTTTTCGCGGGTTCTCATTAGAATCCCATAATATGCAACCTCTGAAGGAGCCTTACAGCTTTGTAGGTCTTGGTAGGTTAAGGTAGGGCATAATGTTCAAGAATCAACGGCCCAGCCCATTCTGGCTGGTTGAAATAGTTTGCTGTAATGCTCCCGTAGAGTTCCTAGAAAGTATACCATAGGACCGTACATCATCCCAAAATCCTATTATATGCCTGAGTACTTACTTTCTGTCTAAGAGGGTTACTACAAGGACTTAGCAAAGCGGCCTTGATCACCGTCGTCGGGTTCTGGGGTGAATTAAAAACAGCTATATATTCTATGAAGGGACTATAAAGGATGTTATGATTTTTGTCCACTGGTTCCGAAAGACCTACCTTAAACGCATAAATCAGGATCCTAAAAATTGAGGCCCTTAGATGCCCTCAAACTTATTCATTGCCTAATGTATTCATCAACGGTCTACACCCCATCAACCCTAGGAGCCACCATAAACATCCTCTGGAAAAAAAAAACGCCCGACGCGCCTCCTGCGGGCCTGAGCTCTCAGAGTTGAGGTTTTTTTTGCAGGGCTCGGTTTAGAGTCTGGCTTTTTGTTTTAAGTGCAATGGGGCCTTTTTCCGCAGAGGTGCACCAGAGCCTGGGGTTTAGGGTCTAGGGTTTTTGTTATGGGACTTCGCCGATCGTGCTCCAGAACAGGTTTCTGAGGGCTCTATGAAGGTCTTAACAAGGTTCTATAGGGGTTCCAGTGTTCTCTGGAGTAAAACCAGTTTTGTAAAGTTTTATGTGAGCCTATATTAGAGGCTTTCATAAGGGTTGTAGAGAGCTTTTCTATACAGTTCTATCAACTTTCTGAACAGGGTTCTGCGGGCTTTTATTATGATCTTTCTGTCGAGGCTTCTTAGGGACTCTAGTGCTTGTAGCACCAATTGAGATACCGCGCAGGCACTGTAAACACCATCGACACCTTCGAGCGGGCTTAGTTGCTGCAACAGATACGAAAAATGAGATCCCTAAACCCCAAAATCTTACCGCCGCAAAAGTGTAGTTAGGGTTCGGGGCTTACGGGCTCAGGAGGTGGCAAGGCTGCGTCCGAAACTTCGCTGTGCTTTTGGAGATCCATTTGAAGGAAAAGAGTCCCATAGGCCGAAAACGCGAACCAAGAACTCCAAAGAGCCGTGATATGTAGGCCGTTTCACCTCCCAACCGGCCAGGTCAGGAGACTTCATCCTCATCTCATTCACAACCCCTGCACAGTCGGTCATGCGGCTGCAGCGACAATCTCTTGCAAGATTTCTCGGCCCCGGTTGAGAAGTCCACTACGACCCAAACCCAACCCTAAACCCTAAACCCTAAACTCTAAGATCGACTACGAGACCGGCGACGAGTGCCGGACTACCGTGACGCGCCCCCCCCCCCCCCCCCCCCCCCTTCCGGCGCTTGTGGTCCTCCAGCTCGGCGGCGTTTGCGTGGAGGTACACCGTACTTGGAGGGTCGGGGGACTTAGTAACTGGTTATTTCAAAGACTTATAAGTACCATACTTACTACCTACTTACTAAGTCCCTGAACCCTAAACCCTAAACCCTATAGTACCCCTATTGAGCCCTTTAAAGGAACCCTTAGAATCCCCTTTAAAGGAGCCCCTACTTACTAAGTCCCCCGACCCTCCAAGTAGAGGCGGCATCTGTCATCTTCCCTCAGATTCAGATCTGCTGATGCGATCTGTGCGGTTCCCAGAGACTCCAATACCCCTTAATTACGGAATATACCTTAAATTATAGTAGGATCCCTAATATGACTTAAGGAATACCCCTTAATTAAGGAATATACCTTAAAATTATAGTAGGATCCCGAATATGATTTAAGGTATATTCCTTAATTACAGTAAGGGGTATTGGAGTCTCTGGGTTTTGCGGCCCA